ATATTCATCCATATCATGTATATATTGCCCGAACCCTGTTAGGGTGATAGCTAATTTCGAATAGATCTCAATGACTTTCAAGTAATCTCGGTATGATCATGACCCCAGAGTAAAATCATTAATCCCGAGTAAAAAAGGCACAATGCTCTAGTCTTTTCAGCTCCAAATATTCTACAGAACAGCTTTAACGTTCATAAGTTGAAGCTTGACAATTCTTCCAGCGGTACAGTACCTTGGATTTGTACCCGCTGAGTACCTTGACTATTTTATGAAATTTGATTGTGTTAAAATAAATTATAGAATTTTTGTTCACTGTGCTCATTGTTACTGATTAGGTAAATATTGTATTGATTTCAATTGGCTGAAATAAACGATACAATATCCTGAAATGTGACGATATTTTTCCATACGTACGGTGCGCTATAAATTCACAGACTGGTAAGGTAGGCAACGAGTGTGACTGGATGAAAACGATATGTTGAAATGGTAGCAACGGGTTTCAGGATCGAGTGTACATGTACAATTCCATTACTTAGTACAGCAGTAAGTGTACCTCGTGTTCGCTCCCTTGTACCTTTGACAGCCATCCTGATATAATGAACTATTTGATAGATATCCTCGATTTTGTGTTCTAGAACCTGTTGTGCTTGCAGATCCAATAAGGTCCACTCCGCAAAAGCAGGGTGCGTGCGGTAGTTGCGGACCACCCTCATCCAGATTGATTTAAATTTTAGTCTTTTGAACATGTTCTGTGTCAAGAATGGAAAAAGCAAGCGAAGCCAGGTGGGGGGGATCTCCACAGTGCATCCGAAAAATTCAACGATGCGTTAATTTAGTCGACGTAGCTAACAGGGAAGACAGTCACGTCGCGAAGAAGGAACCCGTATTGTTGGACACTATAGCTATCGATGCCGCGATTCATGGTACAGTAACACTCCCCATTTCCACTTGGGTGAATTTTATAGAATTTGCAAGTACATCAGGTTTTAGCATACACGTTGGAAATTACCGAGGTGGTATTTCGAAAGAGTATCATTATATTCAAAATTTTATCAAATATCAAAGGTCTCAAAGACGGGGTGCACTACTGCACACAAAAACCACCGTGAACTTGGATAGCGAGTCTGCTCCAAGTCCATGGCTAGAAACTTCGCCCGTTCCGTCCGTCTTCCTGTGCACTTCCGCTACCAATGTGAGTCTGTGCATGTTCCGTGACGTGCAATTGTGTACATATTTGACTGACTGATCGGGCGGAAGACGTCACCCGAAAGCGCTCTCTACAACGCCGTTGTAACAGCGGTGATGTCTCCCTGGTATATCTCTCTATTTTAGTTGCTCCTTCCAGCAGGTCACCGTCGTCGGGAGGAGCACCCCAGTTCCTGAAGCCAGCTGCAGGAGCGCTCATCGAAGCCTCCGTTTCGCACGCCATGGCATATAGCATCTGCGTAGCACCCACGCTGGCTGGCTCCAAATCAGCGAAAGCTAACAATGGTTTCACGGTCTCCGCTCTTCCGTTGTGGGCTGCAGCTGAGCTCCGCGACAGTCTTTACCTACCGCCCTGGTCGTACCGCTTCCATTACGTCCGGCAGTGGGACTGCGCAATCGCCGAGAATGTGCTTTGTATGTGGAAACCGACTGTGGCAAAAGACATTTACATCTTGTCATTTCACCCGGCGATGGCCACAAGCTCCATGCAACTTCGCTGTGGATTTTACTTGGTGCTCGACCGTAGTGACTCATGGCAGCAACTTCAGAGGGCCGCAAAATGGATGTCACGGTGCTGCCTGCCTCTACACGAGCTTCAGGTCGACAGCCAGCAAGTTACTTACAGCAGCTGGAGCTCGTCCATCTGGCACCAAATGAGCATCGTTTTGGTGGCCGCCAGTATCCGTCGTGGCAAAGGTCCTTTGCTGTTGATAGAAACTTCGCTAGTATCTTATCGTCCGGCGTGCTGCAGCCGCAGCCACCGGCAACATTAGTCTTATGCGTCGAGGAAGGCCGTTCCAACATGCGAGGCTGCAGACAGTAGCGGCTACATGATAAGGCACTCGAAACGGCTCACTTGAGGTCAACTTCGACTTCCGGGCCTTTACTTGTGTGGAATCCATGGGTCAAATGGCTTCGATCCCGGAATTCGAGGGTCAACGCTTTCCACAAAATTATTTTATATAAGTAGAAAAATGTACTTAGATACATCAAAGTAGCTCCTCCACCCGAGATGCAGACAAACAGTAGATGACATCCATGGAATTAATATGTGAAACACAAGCAAGACGTCTATCTATATGATGGCATGTAGTCCAGAACCATTCGATCGCTCACTATACGTCGCGAACTGCAGTGATTCCTGGTAAGACTTGTCGAAAGTGGCATTCGTGCCGGATTTTATTGATATTGTAGCTTCATCATTTGACTCTATTTGCGAACGAGTGACGGATAGGTAGCTGTCAACGGCTTTCATAAGCCTGCTCTGATGCAAAGGCCTCGGGCAAAAATGGAATCCTGTGTTCGTCCTCGTCTTATAAAAACTGGAAACGCTGCCCAAATTTACTTAGATAAGATAAAAGTTGCCGTCCGTTGGGCAGCTGGGGGTTATTTTGCTTCTTTTCCTTGCTTTTTCAGCGCTCTTCGCCCCGTCTCCGGGCACTCACATCGTGGTCGCGGGCGGAGTTTCACTTCTCAATCGGCTGCCAAGCTCGCAGCTCTCGCTCTCAGCGTGCCCGACAGCTTCTTCGCAGAGAAGGGGCTCATAGCTGCTTTGCTTGTGGACGCGACCAGACCTGTAGAAGCGCCACACTCCCAGCAGCGCTCGCGGAAGAAATCAGAGCCGTATTTCGTCCTCAAAGTTGGGCGCTCTACGCCAATTTTAGCCGGACACAACTCAATAAGATGCAGAGCCCGCGCGAGATCTCATCCGAGCGCCAGGGCGCGCTAACGCCCGCCACAGCTCGCCTGGTCACCAAGCTGGGAGAGCTGTCTGAAAGCGGCGCCACGCCGCGCATGCTCGACCCGAACTCCACGCGCCAGCCGTGGGCCAATCTCAGCGTGGACACCGCCGTCACTTCCGACGAAGACGATGTCGCCGTGGCCGCTGCTCCTACATCCCATCCTTCTAGCGCAGCGTCTTCGATGCGCTCCGGATCAGGTTCCAGCCAAGTGGCGCTGCCCGCCGGTCTCCTGCCGGAGCGATACACAGCCGACCTGACGCACTGGCAATCGCCCGCCGACCTGCCGGAGCGTCGTCTGATGGTTCAACGCATCATCGCAATGACTCGCAGTAAGCGCGTAGAGACAGCTGCATGCGCCGACACGCGTACGCCGTCGTTGGCCAAGCGCATCGAGCTGTCGCTGTACTCGCGCGCCGCCTCGTTCCACGAATACCGCGACTTGAACACTCTACGTCGCCGACTACAGTCGCTCGTGTCTCTGAGCTTCCACGAGGCCGCAGTCTCGCGTCGCCGCGCTGCCATGATGTCGGGCAGTGGGCCCGTCACAGCCGTACCGCAACTGGGCAAACGCAAATGCAGAGCCATGACGCCGTTCGGTGTGTCTAAACTCACCATCAAGCGTCCGCGCGCCGAGTGTATCGGCTCCACCTCAAGCTGCACGCCACGTACCAGCGCCCGCATGAACGAGGAGGCCTCGTTCTTTATCATGGATGAGGCGGTTCTAGGCCTCGTGTTCGCCTTCTTACCCGGTGTCGAGACCATCCGGTGTATGCAACTTAACCGTTTCGCATATCGCGTACTACCGCGCTGTGTATTCACACTCGAAGTGGAGTTACGTCAACTTCGGCTGGCCTACATGTTACACGCTGCTGCGGTTACTACTCAACCGGCTGCGACTCTATTATGCCAGTTCCCCAACTTAACCAGCTTAACGGTTTTTAACTCGTTGAAACCGTTATGTGACCAGCAAGAGGCCGGGCCGGCACTGCACGCCTGGGGCTGCAGTGAGCTGGACATCTCGCACGATAACGCTGGGGAGGAAGTAGTGCAGCAACTCGCGGAAGGCATCGAACTCGGCGCCTGTCGACGGCTTAACAGCCTTCGTCTGGTGTCCGTCTTCACCAACACGTGCCGCGGTAACGCGTTGCACTTGCTGTGTGCTGCGCTGGTCAAGGGCTCGTGTCCGAACCTGGAGGACTTGCTACTGGGAGGCAATGGCTTCTCGGACGTGGGCACGGTAGACGTTGCGTGGCTGCTTAAGGTCGGGTCGCTTCCAAAGCTGGTGCGGCTGGATATCCGCCGTAACTACATCGGCGAGTCGGGTCTGAAGCGGATCATGGCCGCTCTGCGCTCTGGACGCTGCCAACAGCTCAAGTATTTATGCATGGGCGGCAATATCATCACGGACAACTGCGTGGCTCCAGTAGTGGAGCTACTGTCGAGCGCACAGTGCCCTCAGATGCGTTTCCTCGGCCTGGAGGACAACTTCCTGAGTGCACGCGGCGTACAGTGCATCATCCAAGCTGCTGTGGCTGGAGGCATGATGCCCAAGCTCCACCACGTTTCATGCGATGGAACGCTCGGCACTGACGAGACCCAGAGTGTACGCGCCGCTTAAGAACTGCAACACTAAGAAATTAGAAATGTTAATTAATCGGTTAAAAATTCATGAACTTTGTACATACAAACATCAAGCTAATTCTCTGTTGAACTTATAATTATAATTTCGTTTTAGCAAAATCTGCTTATACCTTTCCGAGAGACCTCGACGTACCGAAGATGTCGTACTTCATCCCGCCCGTCAACTATGGCATGATCGAGGAGGACCTGTACCGCTCAGGGCAGCCGAACGAGCTCAACTTCCCCTTCTTGGAGCGGCTGAACCTGCGTACCATTATTTATTTGGCGCTGGAGGAGCCCAACCCGCAGTTCCAGAGCTTCGTGGAGGAGCAAGAGATTCAGCTCGTGTTCCTCGGCGGCAACACGCGCATGGAGAGCCGCCGCAAGGCCTGGGAGCCGCTGTCCGAGGAAACCGTGCTCGCCGCGCTCGACATTATCCTGGATCGCTCCAACTACCCGCTTTACATCACGTGCCACCTCGGTCGAGACCGCACAGGTTAGTGAAGCAGAACAATAGGCTTTTGACTGGTAAAGGTGGCTGACACTTTGATTTCTAGGTGCTGTGGTGGGTTGTCTACGCAAGATTCAGGGCTGGCATCTGTCGTCCATCTTCGAGGAGTATCGACGGTTCGCTGGCAGCAAGGTGCGGCTGCAGAACGAGCAGTTCATCGAGCTCTTCGACACGGACTTGGTGACGATCCCAGTGAACCCGCCGTCTTGGTTGAGGAAACACCTGTAGAGTGAATGCTAGAATGTTTGAGGAAAAAAAAAGATTTTTTTGCATATGAAAACTGGGACTTGCATTTAACAGTGTCGAAGCGGGAATGTTAAATAACTACCGCTCGATGCCTTCTCGTTTGGTTCGTAACGACGACCCGATGTCTTCAAGATAGCAAGTCACTCAATACAAGATGCCAGCTCAAAGACGTGGAAGGTGATAGCGACGAGAGGATCATGTTGCTGTGTTTCTCCTTGGCTGCTCCTCTCTCCTCGCCCTCATACAAATGTCGACAGTCTTAGCACCGGAAGCCTCCGACCTGCTCAAGTGCGCAGTCGATCTGGTCCTGGTCCTCCAGCTCCAGCATCTTGGGCGTCTGGTCACCGCTAATACGCGTGCCGTCCAGCAAGAAACGCAGTGCGCTGGCGGGAACGCCCTTGCGCTGCGCATAGGCGCTGAAGATCTTGTCCATCTTGGTGTTAGGCTTCACCTTGAAGAATGTCTCCTCGCCCGACTGGTCCTTGACTCGGATGGTGATGGCCTCAGCCTTCTTCTTGTCCTCCTCGTTGGTGGCGTTCGTGTTGGGGGTCGCTTCCTCAGACATTGTGATCGATTGACTGGATAGCAGATACGACAGTTAGAAGAAAAAACACTTAGCTTGGGAGAAAGTGAGAGCATGTGCAACTTTTCTTCTTCCTCCGATCACAGCCGTTTATAGGTTGTTCAACGCCGGAGAAGCGCGAGGGTGAAGAGAAGCGCATGTAGACTCGCATACACAGCAGTATGGCTGCATTACGAGCTAGTTGAGCATCCAGCAACACGCACCTTTCTTCCAGTTGCGTGAATTTCAAAGTGAGGTTTTTGACCGTGTCGTTTCTTTCTGTTCTACCAACGACCTAGTATAGGACATTTTCACACCCTATATTAGGTTATTTACCGAAGATAATGTTTTAGCAAAACCTTATTTTTGGCATTCGCCACCAGGCCAAATAAGCCGATACAAGAAGCGCACTCCGAGACGAACTCGAGTGCCTACACACGACCAAAATGGTGCGTTGCGCGAGGATTGAGCTCTCCCTAGAGTTGCAGACGGATCTCCGCCGAGTGGATAGCTATACTTCTGGCCTTGATACGTCAAATAGCGCTGTGAACGGTGATATTAACGAGAGCGTGGACATATCTTGTGTGTAGCTGCCGCTTTCGTTGCTGAAGACGGCGCAAGGCCACCCCATGGTACGAAGAACAGAATGCTGAGAGAGTCTCATATAGCATAGTTTGGCTCATGTGTAGTGACTTGTGTGCTGCAGCTGGTGGAGCTTAAGAATGGAGATACGTACAATGGACACCTTGTCAACTGCGATACCTGGATGAACGTCAACCTGCGCGAAGTCATCTGCACCTCCAAGGTGCTGCACTGGATTATAAGAGCGTCTGTTAGTGTAAAGCTTACGTGGTTATGTTTGTTGTGTGTCCTCTTAGGACGGTGACCGCTTCTGGAAAATGCCTGAATGTTACATCCGAGGTAACACCATCAAGTACATCCGCGTGCCCAACGAGGTAAGCAGGCGCAGTCAACTACAATGGGTTACCAGTATTTAATGGGATACTACAATTATTATGGTATGCAGATTCTGGACATGGTAAACGAAGAAGACTTCAACAAGCGCGGTGGGTGTCTGGATTCTCTAGAGCTGAAGCATTTTGGGCTTATGATTTCTTTTTCTTATGTTCTACAGACCGTCAAGCCAACCGTGGACGTGGTCGTGGAGGCCGTGGCGGCTTCGGAAACCGAGGAGGTCGTGGGGGCCGCGGTGGACGCGGAGGACGCGGAGAAGGAGGTCGTGGGGGACGTGGCGAAGGAGGTCGCGGACGTGGTCGAGGCGGAGGCCGCGGTCGTGGACGCGGTCGCGGCGACAACTAGCTAGCTAGATAACAAGAGAACCCAGCGCTGTTAAGTGAAGCAATCGGAGGTTCGAGTGCCTGCCTCTATAGTGTCTTACTACGATTTTTTTTTTTTTGTATTGTTGAAAGAAGAAAATATTGTGCAGTTGATAGCGATTTCCAAAAGGCTTTTAACCTGCCTGGCTGTCCGGAACCTGATCTAATTACTTCGCTTCGCCACTGGGGCCCTGCGGATTGTTCTTGATGAGGTAGGCGGCCAACCACTCGATCGGATTAGGCGGACGCTCCTTCACAAGCGCTGACATGCCCTGTAGCAAGATCGGCACCACGGTTTGGTCCAAATATGCGCGAATGGGCAATGCCTGCACCTCCACTTTATCCTGAACGCTCTCGGCCGTGGCCTCGGCCTCCTTCACCTCTTCCTCGTCGTGCTTGGCCGCTGGGGCCTCCTGTGCTGGCTCGTCCTTGCTATCTGCCTCAGGCTTGGCTTCCTCCTCCTTTGCGTCTGCCTCTTTGCTCTCAGCTGGAGCTGCATGCTCCTCCTCGGCCGCCGGTGACTCCTCAGGAGCAGCAGCAACGGGCTCTTCCTCAGCGGGCGTCGCCTCCGTCACAACGGGCTCAGCAACTTCTGTAAGTCCAATAAGACGATAAGATACGAGCAATACAATGAGATAAAGGAGATGAAAAAGGTACCAGTGGTAGGAGCGTCGTCTTCCATGGTTTGACTGGGGATATACGCGCTGATTGACTTGGCACCTTCGACTGAAGATCACAAATGCCGCTCTACGTCGGGGCTAGAGTGTGGGCGGTTGGTCGGGCTAAAAACTCCTGGAAACGGACCTCAATAACGACTTGGGATTGGGCAGAAATGGGAGGAAATAGCTAGACCGCGGTACTGGTACCGGTATCCTTGGTATGTCCTCGATTCGAAGATGAAAAGTTTGCTAGGAAGTAAAGAATGCAACGCGGGCTTCATTTGCTGGTTAGGTTGTATGCTACGATACGTGCAGCGCTAGGACGTATGTGGCGCAAGCATCCTGAAAGCGCCGACCGATTGCGTGGTGAATCCTTTGGGGCCGATAGTAGTGCAAGTGATAGATCACTGTTTTCAATTTCGCTTTCAGTGATACCTTCGAAACAAACGAAGTGCTCTTGTAATGCAAATAGTGCCGACTTGACTGTTACAGGATTTCAACGCATAGAGCTGCACTGAAAAGCGCTGGTACGAAGTGCATGTAGCCCATCTTCAACGTGAACCCATTTTCTAGAGCGAACCCAAACCAAGTAAAGTCTCCTCTTCCACGACGTCTCACAACGGATTTGATCTGCTCTCCATCATGTCTTCACTCTGCACGAGGAACCAAACAGCATTGACAACAGACTGCAATTCTCTATGCCCTCAAGGTCGTCCATGCATCGCTTACGCTGCTGGCGAGGAAGCGGAGTGTTCCAGTATAGCTTCGACGTTCGGGAACTGCACCGCCGACGACTACTGCACTTACGAATGTTTTGCCACTGGTCCAGACGACTTTGCAGCGAACGGGGCCATCGATTTCAGCGTCTACACCTTTTTAATCCCATTTGGTGACGAAGTAGGGGGTAATCTAACCACGGAATACCCTTCGAAATCTAATGACGCACTGCAACACATTGAAGTACTGGACTTTATGGAGTCCACAACCGGAGTCGTGTTGTCTGGGGGGTCAAATTTCATTGGTGTGAGGGGGAAAGTGGCGAAAATGCAGCTACCACAAGAACTTTTCGCTGCAGACACGCAACTTCGAACTGTGTATGTGTATATGAACTTTATTTGTTTTTTTTATTATTATTCTAACGGGTTGTGTATTCTACTGTAGAACGTTGGCAAATCTAGGTTTGGAGCAGATTCTCAAGTCATCGCTACCATCAGGACTCGTGAACTTGACGGTATCCAATTGCCTTATGACGAGTTATCCTGACGATCTACAGACGATGAAAGAGCTTGAAAATCTGTAAGAGTTTTTACAATCATTGAACTGCTGCTTATACTGACTTCTTTTTCTTGGTTACAGGGATTTATCGAACAACTACTTCGGGTATTTTCCTGAAAATATTAAGTTGCCAAAGCTGCAGACGCTTAACCTGTCTACTAACAGTATAGCAAGTTTTGAAGGCGCATTTCCGAGCTTGGTTACACTGTAAGTGTCGTATTAACACAAGATAATGGTTCGTGAGATCTGACTTTATTATTGTAGTGATCTCGCACACAACAACATAACAACATACATTCCAACAGCAATTTTCGATCTGAGTGCTCTCAAACGGCTCGATCTACGTGGAAACAACCTGACAAACATCACGCTTACACAAGCGCAATTTAATTTCCTTCAAGATCTTGAAAAACTCGATGTCGATTCGTTTGGTGACGTCAAGTGCAACACGACAGAGGAGCTTCAAACCAGCAGCAACACACTAAACGTGTGTGTTTTATCTGCTGAATCCGCAGAGGACAACTCATCGAACAAAGCGCTCATCGCCGGAGTGACGGCTGCATCGTTCGTGTTACTATTCATCCTCGGCATCATCTTCGTGTTCCGATGTCTTCGTCACCGTGCGATGAACTCAAAACCAGATCCAGAGATCGTCGATTTACGCCTCGAATTAATTAGCCCAACACAAGACACTCCTCACCAAAGAGTAGAACGACATGCTACCGAGCCAACCCCAAGAGATCACCCGCCACGACGTACATTTCCTTACGAAAGCGAACTTGGGATGCTGCTGCTCAACGTAGACGATCTCGAATACATTCGCAGACTCGAGAGTGATCATCACTCTCGAGACCCAGGGCGTGCTCATCGCGAAGCATTTTTAACACGATTCCGCGGCTCAAGATTCCTCGTTTGTAAACGATTACATCAAGAAGTACTCGATGAAGCCTCGGAGATGCAGCGTTTTGCTGAAGAAATCCTCCTTGCTGCTTCTCTCCACCATCCGCGAATAATAACACTTGTTGGCGTTATTTGGAGTCGAATGTACGGGCTGGAGGCGTTATTTGAGTACATGGAAGGCGGTGATTTGCGTTCCTATCTGGACAAAGTCGAGGAAACTACCGAGTTAAAATCATGGCGGTCGCATAGCGCCTGGAAGTTGCAAGTCGCGTTCGATGTGGCTGAAGCGTTGGCGTATGCACACGCGTTCTCACCCACACTAGTGCATCGAAATCTCACGTCGCACAGCGTTTTACTGTCGTCCTCGCCGGATTTTCGGGCTCGACTCGATGATTTTGTGATTGCTCAAGAAAGGTTTACCAGTGTGCTAACTATTGACATTTCGCAACGAGACGAGCGATGGCTATCACCAGAAGTTATCACAGGCAACGCAGACTACAGCCCAGCAGCGGATATCTACGCGTTTGGAGTGATTTTATCGGAGATTGATACGCATTCCGTGCCCTACAAGAATATCCCAAACGACAGACACAGAATGAGCAAAGTGGAAATCCTGGATCCTGTAGCGTCGGGTAAACTGCATCCTGCATTCACACTAGGCTGTCCGACGGGAGTTCGAGAACTAGCTGAGAGATGCTTGAGCTTTGAGCCAGCAGATCGCCCTACCGCACTGCAAGTTGTCATCGTTCTACGCACACTACTGTCAGAAGATCGCAAGATATCCTATACGATCTAAAAAAAAAAAAAGAAAAGCTTAAACTGAAAATACAACAAAACGGTTCTATTTTTCTCATTATTCTGTGAGTTTCAAACTTATCCTGTCTACAACCGTTTAGATTCTAATGCGTGTGCTGGTCTGCAAGAACGACGGATGCTTCGAGTTCGAGCCGGCGGAGTTGCATCGGCTGGAACGATGGAGTGACGTCAAGATGGCACTAGCACACGCACTGTACAGCGAGGAAGATCTCTTCGCTGTAAGCTCAGCAGACGACATCGCTCTCTACACGTTTCCAGACGGTCTACCGGCTGATGAAAGCGCAGACAAAATGAAGAGTCTAGTGCAACTCGATTCGCGCTTTGTGCTCGATATCTTCGGCAGTCCGTTCCGTCAACGCAGCGATCTCCACATCCAGACGGATCACGAGATCCGTGGCGTCCGTCGAGTCTCTTCAATCCCACGTCGAGTTAGTGCAATGCACCAAAATGTACCCATTTCACCACTAGGGAATGCTACTCATGGAGGTTTCAATGAAGCCAACATCGAAGGGTATCAAGAGCCCTATATTCATATCGGAACATGGATACCTGTCATGGTCAGAGAGAAAAAGGCTCCGATACCGCTAATGAAAAGTCCACCTGCTGAGTTCGAAGACGTTTTAGTGACGACGAACCGAGCGAGAGAGTATATCAACAAGTTCAGACGTGCAGGTCGACCTGTGACTATTATCAGCATCCAAACATGCACGTTGCCACTGGCTGCTGCTTGTCCTAGTGCCATCTCGCAACAAGGTCCGCGGGTTTTGTATGACGGCGTGTATCATTTAAACCCCGACGAGATGCAACGAGGATTCGTTCAGGTTGTGAGACTCTGGTTCAGCTTTGACTGCGAACAGACGATCAGTGTGACGAAGGTGAACGGTGCATTGGGGCTCAAGCCGCTGCGTCAACAGGACGGCTGGGTCGTAGTGCAAGCGCTTCCTGGCTCGCCGTGCTTCGAAGCAGGTATGCGTCGAGACGAAGTGTATCTAACTCACGTGAATGGGGTGGACGTGTCTCCTCACTCGTTCCCTGCCGTCGGCACGGGAGCGCCACAGGGACAGACACCGCATCAAAAGACTGGACAAGTTACCTGGCAAGACAGCGTCGTGCCGCTTGTAGACAAGTGCGAGACCTGCATCTTCACTTTCTTCTAAGATGGATACAACTTCAACTTAGCCACCAAAAGTAGATGGCTTCAGTGCATGTTACACCCCAAGAATAAATTACCAGCTCTCTTGTCTTGTTTTAGCGTTTGAACATTCTCCATCTTCTCTACATCTTTAAGGTTTGTTTGGATACTATAGAGTGCCAAAATGCCAGCCCACAACAAGATGCCAGAGTCCGCTACTGTGCGTGAGTTCAACAACATCCCTGCCCGGACACGAGAGCAGCGTGAAGCTGTTTGTGACAAGGAACAACGAGAGAAGGAGCGACTGCGTGCGCGTAAAGAAGGTTTTGTACGCGTCGACACGTCTGTTGCTGGCAGCGCCATGCTGGTGTACACACCTCAGAGTCAGGGGTTCATGAGCGATGCCGACCGCTTCCATTCAGACACGGCAGGTGAGGAACGAGCTGCGAGAGAGGGGGCTCGAGCTCGGGCTCGAGTGCAACAGGAGCGACGTCGTCGTGAGGCTGTGAACCGAGATGTGCGACGTTGGGATGCCATGGATGCTGCCGCTGCAGAGGAGAAACGTCGTGTAGACGCCCTACGTGCGTCGGGCTCCAAAGCTCGACGCAACAAATGTGGCGAGCCATTCAATCCCATCACACTGAAATACAACGACGGGAAAGATGGCGAGCGACTGCAGGCGGCCGATGCTGCGATCAAACAGCGCGCCATGTTACGAGCGCAGAATCTGCAGTACCACAACTCGCGTGAAGGGATCAACCCCATTACAGGCGAGTCAGTACGTCGTATCCAAACGAGGGACTTGCTGCCACCTCCACAGTAGATAATCAACGAGAACTACCATAGTTTGAAAAGTAAAAGCTTTGAAACAAGTAGGACAGACAGCGCTAGTGTTATTGCAACAATACGATCTAAAAAGTATCTTCGGGGCGGCTATGATAGTCGTTTTAACGAGGACACGTCGGGACGCACGACTCGATGGATCGTCTGAAAGCTTCAGTCTTGCTTCGAATCGAGACTGAAGTTGAGATCCTCAAGCTGAGAAATAACGTGACGAAGAGAAGTTCTCTTCTTGAGAGATGGTCTCAGCAGAGATTATGGTCTCACCTTATGCGAGCAGCTCACTTGTCACCGACAACAGCCGCCGCTATCTGTTTTGATGAGTGTCCCAGGCTGGCAGCGGCAGCCTGTGTGTGTGCTCCATCGCAACGCGACTAACATCGTCGTCTGGTTGGCATGCTTGTTGTCGAAAGACAGCCATGCATGCCAGCAAGAATACGCAAGACACGCAGCATCAGCTCAGCGGACCGCTGAGCGTCCCGGTGCCGTAGGCTCAGGTTGAAGTTTCTTGTGTAGTACTGAGGGATGCTCTTCCTGTTGACCTCTGGTCAATGACCTGTGGTCATTTCATGATGAAGCCACAACTGAGTCTTTATATATTTTAGTCCAGCACACTGCCAAGCGAGAGTCTCGCCAACACCAGAGTTGGTAGAGGCTCTAGAGGCGTGCTCTAAGTTAAAGAGCACGCAAGCTCGGACTGTCACTGTCATCGATGCTCGATGACACGACGTCGACTGCATTGATCCAAGCGCAATAAACACGTCCGTGCCATTTGCCCCCCAAGCAGCATTCAAACAGATTCGTATCGCACAGATTCGTATCGCGCGGCGATGACACCTTCCAGTCACGACTGCAGCATCGATAGCAAATGCAAAGTAGCCCAGCCCAACACCATTGCGGCTACGATGCGATGATGCAGCTTTTTGCAGCTTTCGTGCTGACAATTTTTCACTTGGTCTCACTATCCGGAAATAGTCCGCCTGAACGGACCAATTTCTCCAAACATATCAGACTTTGCCAGCGCTTCTCGAAGCCAAGTAGCGATCACGAGCTTTCGTTCAAATGGAGCTTCATCATAATAGCGAGTTCGCCTTCGAGAGTCGACTTGTTCGAATCGAAATTCTCAACCGCAAGGGGGTAGTAGGTCGAATCACATCACCAAGATTTCGGGTCTATTTTGGGGAATTGGATTCCTGCGCAGAGTGATGGTAAAGGTCTCTCCTGTCTTTGCTCCTCGCATCATTTTACATACAAAAAGCAAGTTATTTCTAACTGCCACGTCCGGTCTTGCGTTTGCCACAACCACCATACGAAAATCCGCCCGTCTGTTCAAACCGGAGATGCTTTCTGCCTACCGCGACCGTCAGCTTTGCGACGAATCGCAAAATTTGAACCAATTTATTTTAAAACAAAAACGTTACAGCAATCCCATTGGGCTATTAGATATATTTGTACAATTTTACGAATAAAATCAGCCACAGAGTTGGTCGCAGCAGCCGTGATGCTCACTTCCGCAAACACGTCGCCGTTGCACTTGGTGGCTTTCATTTCAGAATTTGCCTCGAGGTGGTTACGTCTCGCGTCCGACCCCGATCCGATTCAAGTCCCCAGCTCACGTCACGTAATGATGGAGAACCCGTTGCCTTCGTCCATCCTGCCTAAATCTGGCGGTCTGCGCAAATCCAGCTCCACGCGGAGCTTGGCGTCGCTGGCCGATGTGCAGGCGCTAATCATCGCCCAAGACGAGGAGGAGCAGGCCCAGCAGCGTCGAAAGTCACTGTCGAAGCCGCCGCGTCACGCCAGTGTGCCGATGTACGCTCAAATCCTGCTGCAATTGTGGCAGAGCGAGCTGCAGCGCAACGATGTGGACCTCACGAGCGATTTTTTCTACGACCTGAACGGCACGGAGGAGCAGGGCGTGCAGCTCGTGGGCCGTATGCAAGCGCTCGGCTTCAATATCACGGTACCGCAGTTCTTGGCCATGCATCGATGCTCCATCTACTCGGTGCTACTGGTGGCGTTGTGAACAATTGCAACAAGGCGCAGAGCTGCTATTTTATCGTCGGTTTGTCCGGCCACCACGTCCCATACCCGTTGGCTTCATGCGTAGCGTCACGACACTCAGTAGCATAGTAAGATAATTTATAGCGTACGCACACGAAGCATTTTTTTAATGCATCGATTGTCAATTTCTCAACGTAATACATGTAGAATATCCGACCAACTGCCATTTCCTCAAGAACTATTTTTCTCATATTTACTTCGAAGCAAATTGACAGATGAAAAAATTTGAAGTTAATGTTTGCCTGGACGAAATTGACCTTGGAGTCTGCTCTTGTGTAGACGTCCAAGCCTCGTGTTGGCTCGTGAAGATTGGCGGTGGAAGTTGCTCTCGCCTCCCATTGTGCCTGGGTCCACGTACTGCGGGCGCGGGTAGCAGATTTTGTAGTGTAGCGCCACATCCACCTGGTTGTGGCCTTGGCGCACAGCTTCCTCGATCGCAGCGGGGCTTGTCAACGTGCGGTTCTCCTCAAAGCGTCTCCTACACAAAATGTTGTCAGATACCTTTTCCACATTTTGCCACTGTGAGAATGTTCCGCAAGCACTTGCGCATGACGAACTTGGAAGAACCACTGCACTGAAATCTGCAATGTCATGCTAATAGTTCCTACCTGGCCTCGGCCCGGATCCAATTCTGCTCGTGGAAGCCGCCTTCCCCTACAACAGTCAAGCAGGTCCGGATATTAGAACATAAGGAAGAACATTGTTCTGGGTCAGGTCTTGAACTCGAAGGTCGACGTACATGTCCTTGCTACACGGAGGATACGGCGATAGAGCGAGAGCGACATGGCGGCTGTGGCAAGTTATGTCGAGTCCAGCGTATCGCGGGCGCTGGTCATGAAGCTCGTTCCAGTGGTGACAGCGAATATTGTGTTAAACCGAGGAATGTCGTCCGAAGGTGGTAGCAACGCAGAATTTAGTATTGGAGCCGAATAAGAATAATATTGAGGTCGTTTTTTTTCTTCTTGAAGTGCTTGCAACCGACGTACTGGTTACTTGTTACTTGTTTTCATGAAGCTAGGTGCACACTTCGGTGCGGGTACGAGAATCCACTGCAATAACGCTGCATGCGATGCTCGTACTGCGTTGGTAGCAATAAAAATGCATTAATGAATAAAACATTTGATACTTTTTAGGCCGTATTGTTGCAATTATTGATATAGCCATTTTGGCCTTACAATACCTTACATGCCTAATTTTTTTCTGCTATTCCTCTTCTTCGCCCTCTTCAAGCTCCTCTCCTTCTTCCAATTCATCATCTGAGCTACCTTTTCCCTTCGCTTGCATCTTTAATCGTGCCTGACGAATTATTTCCTCGGCTTTCGCGGCTTCTTCCGCTTCTGACAGCGGTTTGGAAGGCGTTCGAAGGGGTGAAAATGGCTCACTTGTCGCTGTATCCACCACAGGCTTAACGTTAACAGCTGCAAGACTAGGAGGCAACACATCCCGATCACGGGACCGAGAGCGACTTCGACTGCGATGACGTCGAGACTTGGACCGAGAGCGAGATCTGGAACGTGAAGGCGATAGCGAACCGTGACTTCGTCGACGCTTTCTAGAGCGATGACTTCGACGTTTCTTGTGATTTTTCTCGTCTTCATCCACTGACGAGCGTCGACGTGGTCGGTCTTCATCCTCTTCACTATCGTGACTGTCTTTCCGGCTTCGTTTACGTCGCTTCTCCTTCTTTTCCGACTCTCTTCTGCTCTCTTCTTTAGCCATAGCCACCCACATATCGTACACTTGACGTACGTATTCAGGGAACTCCGTAGTGCTGTCCTCACTCTCTCGCTGCTTCTTCACAGCTGCTTCCAGTTCGGCATCAACTTGTTCAGGTTTAAGCGTAACTTCTTCAGTATCTGCAGCCCCGTTGCTCTCCTTCAGGTCGCTGGACTCTTCTCCTTCCTCGCCTTCTTCAGGCGCGTTACTGTCGATTGCAACACCCACGCCATTCTCCAACGCGTCGATAAATACCGCAAACTTCGTGGCTTCTGTCACGCGTAGTGGCGGCTCTCCACTACGATCCAAGTACTTACGAATCACGGATGCTGCAGGCTCAAGAGCGCGACGTAATCTACGCACAAACTTGTCAAAAATCCGTCTCTGCGTCTTCCAATGCAGATTTTCATCATCGTCTTCTTCCTTTGCCTTTTGTTCAATGGCTTCTTTAAGATACTCCACAGCAAACTCGTCCCACGTACTTCCAACCGTCAGTTTTTGACTCGCTGCGAGCTCTTGAAGCTTCTCATTCAACTCCCGTCCTAATTTCTCAATCCGTTCAGCACGTTCAGCGCGCTCACGTTTCCTCTGCTCATGTTCGAGTTCTCGACGTTCACGTACGAAATCCTCCGCCCAGTCGTACACATCATGTCGGTCTACAATCCGCAGTGCATCTTCACCGATTTTTCCCTTACTACCAGGGAGTTCCACGTCTTCCAATAACTCCAACACACGACGTTTAACGTCACTATCCAGACGCTTACTGGAGCGTCCGAGGTCCAGTTGTTTAGCCTCCACACGCTGTCGTAATAGCTCCATAAAGCCTGTATGCAGAGCCTCTCGTTGCTTCACCAATCGAGCCTTCTGGTTGCGTTCCAAGTCCTGCATATACGTCGCAAACAGCTGCTGTTTCTCTCTAGTCTCGTCAATAGCGGACCATCGAGGGTCTTTACGCATAGCGTAGAAGTTGTTACTCTCGCTCACTTCTTCCCACGAGACCTGCCGACGACGAGGAGGAGCTAAACTGGACTCGAATAGTCCTAAAAGCTCAATAAAATCCTCGCGTGCCTTCTTTATTAGTCGACGCTTTTCGATAGTCGCGCGGTTCTTAGCCTGAGTGCAGTACTCGGCATAAGCCTGCTTCTTCTCGCCCACAGTGTTCAACGCAAACTTCCATCTCGGATCGTTAGCCATCGACGAGTCCTTGCTGATCACACGCTGAGCGTCGCCCCACTTTAAAGTGGGTGTAATCTGCTTATCCTCCAGAAACTGTTTGAATGTAGCCATTCTCTCAACACGTGGCATATCGGCGAATTGAGCAGCTTGTTCTTGTTCCTGGATCTCTTTGCGCTTTTTACGGGCTTGTAGCTGTGCTTCTTGTCGTTTAAGTTCTTCTTCATCGTCTTCGTCTTCCTTTTCAGTAGACGCTGTGCTGCTGGGGTCGGGATTCTGTATAGGAATTATATTCTGCATTGGAGAGACCACTTGCAGCGCTTCGCTCGTCATTTTGGCTACTTGTTCTCGTGCTTTTTGCATCCTGAACTCTTCTGGTTGGTCCCATACCGTCTCTTTTGTTACTTTATTGAAATAGTAGTAGGCTCCGGTCGCTTCGTCCTTGTATTCCACCCATTTCGTGGTATTTGGGTCCATTGAAGCTTGTGAGGGGAAGTCATAGGTACTTACCCCCGTACTAGAATTATAGTAGTACGTAGCTCCTTGGGGTGTTCTGTATTCATTCCATCCTGGAGGTAATACTGGACCTGTACTCGCTGGTGACGGTGGGGCTTGGAAACCGGGTGTAGCCATCATCGGAGGTATGTTGAGACCCATTGGCGGCCGGGCCATCCCGGCGGGAGGCCCACGGAGTGTTGGTGCAGGTCCTCGGAAGCCGAAAGGAGGCGGCGGTCCTCGTGCAGCGAACGGCGGACGGAATGGGGGCGCAGCTCCGCGTGGAAATGCTGGTGGCGGCCCGCGGAAGGGCGGCGGGCCGCCGCGTGGGAACGCTGCGCCATTGGACGGCGGGCCGTAGTGGCTCATGTCGGAGATGTCGTCACTAAGCCACAAAGGACAACACAAGCTTCAACAAGACTGTCGCCTGCGGGTTTGGAACTGCAAGAGGGAGGGTTCTGCTCTGGAGCGAGTGGCGGAATGACTGCCTCCAGTGCGGGGAGCTACTCACTTGGGCGTCGAGGACTCCGAGATCACTTCGATACAGCAGGCCAGGAATGGTTGGTGAATGGTGTGGTGAACACAATGTTATGTTATTGCCTTCATTTTGTGACCCATACTTAAATCAAGTTTTGAAGCATATGACTACATTTTGAGCTCTGCGATCAAAAATGGTCATTGACATGCCGCCGCCGCCGCCACCTCCGCCTGGAACGATGCCGCCTGGCCCTCCACCGCCGATGCCGCCGCAGCTGCAGGCCATGATGCGTCAGATGCAGCAGCGCCAGCCAAAGTTCCAGCAGATGCAGGCAGAGCATCAAGGAGGTCGACGTGGTGGACGAGGGGGACGAGGGCGTGGTAGAGGACGTGGAGGCTTCCAGCAGAACTACAGACAGAACCGCAGCCACAACAGGCAACACTCACAATTTAAACGCAAGAGAGGACCAATTGACGACATACGCGACGTCTCGAGGTTCTTCCTGCCGTCGTTCTTGGAGGACCCATGGAAGGAGTTAGAGACCGCAAATGGACCAGCCGCTGCAAAGGAGCAGCATGTAGACAGACAAAGAGAAGAGATGCGTCCTCGACAAGTACGCTATGCTACGGATAACGGACCGGGAAGAGTGTTTTTCCAGCCATCCTTTCTCGAAGATCCCTGGGCGCAATTAGTGCGTTGATACAGTGATAAGACCATTAAGGAAGCTTCTCGCAGTGAAATGGCTGCATTTGTTTCTTCTCTGATAGTAGTGTGCGAGGTTTAGAAGACAACGGAAGCAGAAGCTTCGTGCTCTGGTTCGCGCCGAGAAAATGTGATAAACTTGGCTCGGTGCACTCGTGCGTTGAGGTCCTTGATGATGTGTGCAGGCTCGATGCTGGATAAAGCGAGCGTCATGGTGAACGTTGCACTGTAGTGGACCAGTCGTGGGTACAGGTTATAATGTGTGAGATGCGCTACAGACTCCGGGCAGGCCACGATGCGACTGAGCTGGCAAGCTGTTGGGTCCACGGGGCTGTGGACACTCACGATAATTAGAGCTCCCGTCTATTGTTTTTTTAGGACAACCAAAATCCTACCATAACGCAGGGATGGAGCAGCAAACGCTGAGCGAAAGATGGAAGGCCGAGAACAGGAGTGAGGCCATCATGAGGCTCGTCACGCTCTGGTGTAGCCAAGAATTCACCAGCATGTGGTGTACGAAGGCACTCGACACTCGTGAAAATGTGCAGGCGTAGTAAAGCAGCAGTAGTGCTGCTAATAACTGGGGGACGGCCGTCATCATGTACTTGAGTGACATGTCGTGGTAGAGCTCACGGTTCTCGACCTGTACGAATACGGAGCATCAGTGAGTGATATATTTCGTTGCATGTTATCCAGACGTACATCAGTGGCGTGATACCATTGACACAAACTGAAGCCGCCCTGTTGAACATATCCACCACATTTGTGAGCCTTTATCAGACGCTGTAACCATTGCAACATTACAATTGAACTGCAAGCCAGGAAGACCGGGTACAGACGTAGATACAGCGGGACGAACGTCATCTGTAGCGAGGAATGCAGCAAAAAGTATGTTGTGCCTGTCTTGGTCTTATTTGAAATAAAAAACTTGAATAAAACATTATAGGATTTCAGCGTTTATCCAGTTCGTCTTCTAGCGTTTTCAGCCGCTTGGCACACCGGTTTAGTCTGCGTCGAACAGTGTGTTCGATCTCTGAGCCACGGTCAGCTGCAGGCATCACCGCCAGCACATCATACGCCAACTTGATAGACTTCATTAAGCATTCACCCTCATCATCCTTGCTCGATATTTGTGTACTTAGCTCCACGGGCTCTAGACTCGACTGAAGACTGTGCTGTGCATTCTGTTGCACAATTTGCAAAAGGTTTTGCACATTCTGGTGGCTATTGCTCTGCGGGGTCATGACGACGTCCGATTCTTTGGGTGGTTTATACACAATCGAGAGCAGCTCAGGCTTGTCATTCAGCACGCGTCTCAAATAATACACATCGATTCGCCCCGCACAAACAGACAAATCGGCCGCAATATTGCCCTCCACACTAAATTGTGAGCACACACTGGCATACGCAAGCACCAATTTCTCCCACATCTTCTGCAGCTTCTCGCTCGAGTGAGGAACTGGTGACGCCAGGTTAAAATCTGCGAATACGTGATCATCAGGATAGCGTATCCTGGCATATTCAGCTTTAACGCTAATGAACTCCATCCTCACTTTCTCCCATAACGGACTGGCACCGTCCACTGTCCTCTTTCGTCTCGATACGTCGTCCATTAGATCCGCCAGAAAAGGCCCCATAGCCGTAGAGAAGATCACGTTAATTAGTCTAAGAGTACAATTTTTGGTCTTCCGCGTGCGTCCTGATGGCGTTGCATGGATTGCAAATTCAGTGAGCCCCGTACTGTTCGCTGTCTTGGCCTCCAGTAATTTGATAAGCAACTCCGAGTATCCTGCTTTGGACTGGTACGCTGCGTACTCTTTACTCTGCGCTGGGACTCCAAATCCGCCACATAATGTCCGCAATTCTTTCGTCGAGTACGTCGCGATAGTGGACTGCAGCTCTGCGCGCTTGCCGTCGTCACACAGTCGCTGGAGCTGCTCCAAGCGCAGCCTCCGCATCGTCACTACTTCGCTGCTCGTCATTATAAAATTTGTGCTCAATTCAAATTGGACATACCCAAAACTATCGTTACATCATTGGCTGAGAACAAAAACCTTGAGTTTCAACCAATGAAAATGCGCAATAAGGAGCGGCTCTGAGAGCCTTCCACAAGCTAAAACAGACCACAGCAAGCATGGGCCGAGCTCGGAAGCGCACGATGGACATGATCCGCCTGGTCAAGGGCTTGTCCCGTAATGGCGGCATGCGTCGTCCTTCGTGGGTTCCCATGGTGGACCGCTTCCCACCACCGCCGGTGCCTCGCCAGGACCGCGACAAGCTGCCGGTCATCACGTTCCCGCAGGACCGACTGGCTGAGCTCTACATGAAGCAGCGCGACGGCATGGTGGACAACCAGACGGCCTATGAGTTCGCCGACGAACAGCTAACACTGATCGAGCAAGGAATCCCGGAGGAGGACGCCTTTAACTTGCTCATCGAGAAGTACGACCAGGTGGAAAGCCACCGCTTCCTCGAGAAATTCTCCAAGATGCGTGGTATTGAATTCGCCGACCCCGCTGAGTACGATGACATTGAGAAGGGATGGGTTGAAGCCGAGAGTCGTGCTATTAAGGAGGCCATGCGTATGGAGCACGAGGAGGAAGAGGCACTCCGGAACATGTAGACACACACGAGCGAGTAGACCAGGGTTGCTATTGGAACAACAAGACACAACTTTTGCATTACATTTAACCCAATATTTGTGTTGCAATTTTGCGAACGCTTTTTTTTATAAGAAAAAAAAGTTAACATGTAGTCACCTTCACGCCTTAGCTGCCCATTGCTGCGTTATGCTTAGCCATGAGGTATTCGCCTGCGAGTATTGGAGGATATTTCGCCGGGTTCTCTGGCGACTGGCAGGTTGGAATACACTCCACAACTGTCTCTGCGTTGATATTGTGGAAGAATGCGATCGACTGGCGTCGGTTGTTTTTGCAGCCCGATGGTGGATTAATCACGCGATGCATGGTAGAGCGCCATTGATCGTTGGTCCAATGTTGCATCAGATCTCCAAGATTGACTATATACGAGTTGGCAGGAGCCTTGACGTCGTGCCACTCGCCCTGTAGATCTCTCACTTGTAGTCCACCAGGAGCGTCATCCACCGCCAAGATCGTCAAACTACCGTAGTCTGTATGCGCTGACGCTCGGATCTGCGTCGTCCCGGGTTCTTCTTCTTGATGAGGGTAGTTCCTGAAGATCACAGAAACTCGTTAGACATCTAAGACTAGGTTACACCCTCTATACTAAACTTACAGGATCCTGAGTGACGACATGTGGTTGTCGATCTTCTTGTCAAAATAGTCGCTGGGTAATTGCAACGCGCACGCAAAGATCTGCATCATAACTGCCGCGAGTTTCTCAACACTGCGGTAATACGTCGTCATGGAGTTTTTAAAGCCTTCGGGTCCTTCCGGCCATTGCGCTGGGATATGGGGTTCTCGTCCGTTTGGACCCACGCAGACTTGGAACGTCTCCTTTAAGTCTGGTAGCTTTTTGCCATCATCTTTCTCTATTGAGTTGGACAGAATCTCGGCACTCTCGTAGCCATAAGGATAGTCTGGAGTCATGGATACCTTCTTCTTGATATCCAAAGGTTGGTCAAAATAGCCCTTTGCAGCCTCGAAGGCCTGAGCGATCGTATCCGACGCGATGCCGTGGTTGGTGATGATCAGAAAGCCGATGGAACGACAAGCGTCAGCCACTTGACTCACCACTACATCGCGAGCTTTGGAGCTTGAGGGTTCGTTCACGAAAGGAGAAATGTCGATCACGGGCACGATCATTGGCAGAAATGCGACGTGATTGTGACTCAGGAAATTGAAGAATAAGCCCGAGCGACTTTTCCGTCAAATTTTGGTGATCATTTGATGCCTAACCAAGGAAAGATGTTGCGCGCAAGTTGCATTAGTACTATGTTGCGCAATGAACGTTGAAGTTTGACTTGAAGTTGCTATGTTGCACGTTCATTGGTGACCATTTTTTATGCCTGTACTTCGTAGCCTAGAATAACGTAGTCCAGAACAAGATGAAGGGTCCAACTGACTCGCACTGGGCGGAGGCGTATTACCATCAGCAAGCTCAAGCCCGCAAGAATCGAGCCTGGAAGAGTGTATTTCGTCCATCCGCCATCGCGTCATACCTCGCCATAGCTGGGCGAATCATCGTAGGGCCACTAGCTCTGCTTCTGCTATTCACTTTGACCGGATACTTATCGGACGCCACCGTCTTCATCGAAGCCGACCGCAGCATCTTCGCATTCACGGAACGTGATTCATCCATGGCTGGCGGCTGCACGGGGTGCTTAGGTCCGTGCAAGATCGTCATGCTCAAGTACAAACTACTTGAAGGAGTTGCCATAACTTCTGCACCTCCATTCTTCACGTTCACATCCCTCCCACCGACGGAATCTCTGTACGATTTCAGCTCTCTCAGTGACGAAGTACTCGCGTTCTCGGAAGCTCTGGATGCGAATGGCACACTGTGTCAAAGTAGCAAGAACGAATGGGGGACATCACCTATCGTCGTCACGGGATCAGCGCAAGAATTATTGAACATCGTTCACATGGCCAACCTCAATCTCTCGCCTCAGATGGTGCGCGAACTCGAGTTAGCCATCGAACGAGCCGATGAGTGCGTCACCGGGTGGACGATGATGTCGGTCGTACGGCTTTTCCAGTACCCGACAGCTGAGGGCAGCTCTGAATTCGGCCAAGTCCCGGCTGTAGATACTCATATCTTTCCAGACTACACAGAGTGTCGTCCTGTGGTTGAGATTGATGACAGTCTTGTTGGCTCTAAGTTAGCGCTCGACACAAACGGTCAAGACCCTCTGAAGGTAGTTCCTGACCAGCTGACGCTGTTTCCGTACAGCTTCACAAGTAGTTTGCCTCCGATCCCACGCTCTGTTCCTGCCGATCCGTCAAAGACGAAGACGGGAGCGACTAGCGTCGTACAGTCTTATCTTCGAGCTTATTACGGTGGATGTCGTGTACGCGCAGTGAACACGACTGGTATATACATTGAAGACACGTGTGCGATCTCAAAACATTGGGTTGGATACGGCTTAATGGTGCATTCTCCTGACGACATCCCGCTCTGTAGTACGGGCGATGTATGTATTCACAATTATTTCAACTCATTGTGGGAATGGGAGCACTACGTCGCTGCTGATAGACCCGATCGAGTGGGTATGAACCTCAATACATTTCGAAGCCGATACGCCGACACTGTCGCGATCAGCGTTCTACCCGGTGTAGTCGTGGGTCAGATACTCCTCATGGGTGTCGTCAGTCTCTACCAGGTGATGTCGCACAAGCGCTCTGTGCTTTTGACGCAAATATGGGCGTATCGATGCCAGAATGGACGCATGCAGGTGATTTATCTAGCCCAGATCTCGTACCACCTCCTCTACAATTCGGACTTGTACATGCTCGGACTGGCAACTGGTACACTCACAGGCGAGTCGATTGCGAATTTGACGTGCTGTGTTTTCGCCTTCTCCTACTCGTTCGTTAACCTCATGAAGGCTCGCTCGGGAGATCAGCAACTGGATCGTCATTTCCGTCTCATTTGGGAGGCAATGCAGATCGTAATTACCACTATCGTTGGATGTTTGCTACTCTCTTGGCAAAAGGCACCGTTCGAGTCCATTCTGGCCCAGAATGCCGAGATTTTACGTAAAACATCAGCCCGTGGTGCCAAATACTGCGGGTTGAACGACGCCTGTGTACTTTTCACTGTGAACTTCCCTTCTGTCATCGCAGTGCTATCGGTGGGCTTCGGCTTCGTGGCTGTGGTCGCATCACTTTTAATGAAAAGGATGGCTCCGAAGGCTAGTAGATCGGTCCGTGGCTCTTACGTGACACCGAAAATTGCTGTTGCCGATGTGAATGGCAAGAAACAAGCAGCATACGAAGCTGAGAATGATGATCTCACGTCATTCGAGCGAAATTGCCTTGGGTCTCCATTCCACAAACTCTTTTCCGACTGCGACGAGATCACCTACGTTACGTACAACGGCAAGCGATGCACCACAGTAGAAGCTCTGTTGCTGACGGGGTACCTTTACTATGGGCAACACATTTACCAAGCGTCCTCGGTGATGTTGTTGCTAGTGGCGAGATTGGTGCCAGCGAAAATCTTGCGCACATTCAACGTGCTGCTTCTACGTTGGCACGTGGACCCGATTGAAGGCACGTTATCTCACGCCTTATCCTGCACTTGGTACGCTGCCAGCGCAGAGGACCACAAGATGGCTGCAGCCACACCAGTGGCCTAGTACGGCTACCGCTGGAACGTTATGGATGCACAAGCATGTGTGACGTAAGGAGCAATGTGCTCAACCAGCTCTTGCATTCACTGTGCAACACCATGTTGCATGTCTTGCAAAAAAAAAAAAAAAAAAAAACACACAGTCTGCCTGCCTTACATCCACTTGCTTCGAGCGCTGAGTCTGTCAAAACTGATTCAGGCTAGCGGTGCGCAAGAGAGTAACCTCAGATTCTTGGGCTTCGATTTTTTTTTTTTTTTGAATAGATATGAGAACCAGGCAACCCGTTCTATCCCTCTTTATTAGCTAGGCCTTTCTAGTGATTTCCACGTAAGTATGCAAGGAGTCTCAAGCAGCCAGCGGAAATGCTTTCTTGCCATCCTTGCATTGCAAGGCAACCTCCCGTCCAATGCTGGGAAGGCGGCGCGATCCTGCTTCGAATTTGTGACACGAGATGTGGCAAACGCGGTACAAACTATTTTCCACCAATCCTTATCTTCAAAAAAGGCATCTGGTTTGAGCTCCAGCCAATCATCGCCCGGACGGAATAAGCCAAAAGAGAACAGAGCAAGGCAAAAGCTAATTTGCCATTTCCAGACCGAGAGCCGCCGCCCCTACCCGGTCCACATGTCGGAGGCAACCTCAGCCCGCGAATATGACCCGCTGTTCCCACGCAGCTACGCGGCATCGTCCACGACGTCTACGTCCACAGCGCCGCGCTGCTACGGCGGTTTCGAACAGCAGAAGCGCGTGTGGGCGTCAACGGCTCGGCGATCGCAGCGCATCCGGGTGATCGCCGGTCTACAGTTGCTGTTGGGGCTGCTGGCGTCTGGCAACTACCTGTGGCTGTCCAACATATTCATGTTCATCGTGGGTGTCGTCGGACTATTGGCCGTGCGCTCCGATCGCATGAGTTGGACCGTTGTGGTGCGTTATTTTGCATTGGTTAACACTTTGGGGAAAAAAATCTGATTTGGTTATTGTTTTGAACGTTTAGTACTTGCTGCTGAGCGCCATGGAGTTCGCACGCATCGTCATGCTCACACCTCATCTATACGACCGGTTCGAGGTGCCAGGATATGCTTTCTCACGGTATGAGTACTTCCAAGTCGTCGTGCTTGTGGTTGAAGAAGTGCTGCTAGTGGTAAGACGCTGCAAAACGACACTTAACTATTGTGTTTAGTAAGCAGTCTAATATGTTATGTCACCGTAGCCAGCAGCATTTTTTGTCTGCATTGCCGCTGCAGCGTCAGTTGCCAATCCGTTATGGTAACTTTGGCAAATGCAAGGACGAGATCCATTATCAGACGTACGAGACCACGAAGCCATGACCTTGCTGCTGTATACTCCCGGTGTTAGGAATAGTTTTTATCGCATTGAGGGCCGAGAGTATCAAAGTGGTGACGCTAGTATTTCTGCATGTAGAGGCCTAGCTTCTTACATTGTTCGTGTGTTCTCGCACAGCTAACTTAATCTATATCGCTTTTACGACACAAAAAGATTGCCTTAAATCTGGTATCTTCTAGATGAGGTCGATTGCACCAGCTTGGACGTGCTCCTGGACACTGCGGTAACGCAAGATATAGCGATCAGCAGACGTCACCTGCACGAAGTCGCCGCCTTTGTCGTCACACTGCACGCCACCCGCCTCCTTGCCCTGGCAGAAGACGAAGCTGTCTAGATTCGGCTCAGATACTGCCACACACACACACAAATTGTCAGAATCAGATTGTTTTAAACTCCACAGCCATTGATGCATCTTACCCATGCCATCAGCCGTGAGAGTACGGTTGTCCTTCGAAAACTTGCCTATCGCCAGGTCATTCACATGAGACTCGAAGAGCATCACAAACCTGCATCAAGAGTGAGAAAGTGAGCTTACTGCATAAAAATGATGCAGATAATTAGCAACGTACTGCTGGGCGAAGTTACGCTCCTTGACGGACAATCGCTGAGTCAGCACTTCGTCTTGCAGAATGTGAATGGCGAACTTCTCAATCTACACAGCAAATTGTTAAGAACATCAGCATTTGTTTCCAACTTATCGAGTACGAGGATTTTACCTTGCGGAGCCGTGTGCGGAGGTACGACGAGACCATGTAACGTAGTCGGTCGATCTCCATTTGGTAGAGCTTATTGACGAAGGATTTCTCCTCCGTGAGCTGCGTGCGGTCCTCATACACGGAGTCGACATATTCCTGTTGATTGCGGATCTGCTCCAGCATCTCGGACACCATTTCCTCGTCGTACTGGAGGATCTCTGGGGCATTCTGTCGGGCACCAATGGCGTGTAATTCCGTCAATTTTGCGACAATTTAAGCGGAAGAAGACGTGTATTAATGCCTAGAGAGCGGAGCGTACCAGCTCATTGACCCAAAGCGTACGCATGCGCTGGACATCCTCGTTCAGGTTCTCCTGGTCGAACTCCGGCTGCGACGGCGTCTCCATGACGACGATAAGTAAGACAAAATCCGTAGTTCCCGCCAAAAATGGAAACCGGTAGATACCGATGAATACCACCGGTTAAAACCGGTTTAATACCATCGCAAAATCAGAATGTAGCCATGTCTTGAGAAAAGGCACTGCAACGAGCAAGAGCTCCACTGCTCGAGGTCTGCTCTTTCTCGATATGGAGGTCTTTGGAGCTGCATTCGACCAGTAGAGAATCCTTCTCAAGGCGGAAAAGACCAAGAGAAGAAGAGCACACAGGCCTCATGGGCGCCGTCAATTGTTGCGCGCAGACTACTCCCGACGGTAAGCGGGATCGTGTGTTCCGGTGTTGCATCTGACATGTTGTGTTGGTGTTGCAGTGGATGTGTGGAAGAAAAACAATCGTGGTCGGACGCTGAGTAGAGATGAAGCGAGAGCGCTGATGCCCATTTACGACTACGAGCCCTCGCTATCGTTGGAGCACGAAGACGACGCGTCAAGTACCGATAATGGCAGCATGGGATTCTTCCCGGACACGCCGAAATCGGCGTCAAACGACCATGAATTCGACGACAAGTCGGTCGTGGTCGTGTCTGCTGACGGTGGCGTAGAGATCTACGGTGATCTCGACGAGGAGAAGCCGCCACATTCAGACGAAGAGCAGGACGAGTTGTCCCCTGAGGCTCGTGCACTGCTCCCTGCCCCGAACTCGTGCCCTCGTTCTGGTGCGTTTAATACGCCCCTACCAATAATGAGTATTGTACTGACTACAATGCTATACAGGCATCAATCTACGTCGGCAGTCACCGACCTTCGGCAGCAGTAAGTCCCAATTATTGGCACCACGCCGCACGCAATCTTTCAGCGAAGGTGTAGCAAAGGCCTTCATGCTGTTGCACTTTCCTCTGCTAACCGTTTGCTGGTTGCTCATAAAATAGCCCCTGCCCAACCGCGTCTCGAGGACTACTTGTGCACGTGCAAGTACTGCCCTCGTGCCATGACGATCCAGCGGGCGTTCCAGCTCTACGGCTTCGCACTGGATCACCCGCAGAGCGACGCGTTGCTACGTGTGTTGCGTGCCTGCGCCAACTACGACGAGACCATCATGGAGGTGGATCCACTGCTGGTGCTACACGCGGAAAAGATGCTCGAGGATCTCGGCTTCGACGAAGACCAGACGTTCCATCTCCTCATCGCCTCGCACTTCCAGCGAGCCTAAAGCGGTACAGCCCAACGTCTTCACGGACAAGTTGAAGACAACTTAAAAAAAAAAAAAAAAAAAACATTTGTCTCGTAACAATCTCATAATGATTGGATGAAATTCAGTCCATACCGTCTTATGATTCGTTGAAATACACCAAATTTGCAACAGAACCAATGGCTGCCACCACGTGTCAGATTTAGCTCATTCTCAAAAGATCTCTCTCGGTCTCAAGTCTCAAAATCCAAGCAAAAATGGCCCGTGAACGCACCTACATCATGATCAAGCCGGATGGCGTCCAGCGTCACCTGGTGGGCGAGATCATCAAGCGCTTCGAGACCAAGGGCTACAAGCTCGTGGCTCTGAAGCTGGCTCGCCCGTCGGTGGAGCACCTTGAGGCTCACTACTCGGACCTGAACGGCCGCCCCTTCTTCCCCGCTCTCATCAAGTACATGAGCTCGGGCCCCGTGACCTGCATGGTCTGGGAGGGCACCAACGTCGTCCTTGAGGGCCGCAAGATGCTGGGCGCCACCAAGCCCAGCGAGTCGGCTCTGGGCACGATCCGTGGCGACTTCTGCGTGGACGTTGGCCGCAACGTGTGCCACGGCTCGGACTCGGTCGAGTCGGCCGAGAAGGAGATCGCTCTGTGGTTCCCGGAGGGACTGGTCGAGTGGAGCGCCCAGGACGACGAGTGGGTGTACGAGAACTGAAATGTTGTCGCTCCAGTCGTCACACCAGCAGTGAAAGAAGCCGAGACAGAGCTCCCAGCCACAGGATGCGCGCACTGTAACCTTCTCTAACTGTAATCGTAATTCCGTAATGAATGCTCTATCCTTGGATATTGACCTTGGATTGCTCTTTCTTTCTGGACATTTTGTTTTGTGTTTTTTTTTAAATGATTTTTAAATTTTTGGAGATTTTTTTTGCCACTCTAAAAATACAATGGAGTTATCCATTCTGTATTTTGAAGAGTCGTTAAGTATTACAACCCTAATACACTTGGTTCCAAAAACTCGTCGGGAAGCATACTGATTGGCCACGATGGCAAGTGACATTTTCAACGAAAGTTCTACAACCCCCGTCTAAAGCGATGCGACGCGACGGTGCTAATTTGCCAGCTGGGATAAGGACGACAAAACACTATGAAAGTGACTACCCTACTGTATGAATCGGCCTCGGAGTCTCTACCACTGCTCTCGTCTCTGTCTTTGCCACTCACAGACGCTATTCAGTCGCAGCTCTGAACGTGTAGCTCTCGGTGTGTGTAGCGCTCCATTGATTGATCTGTTCTGGATTGACGCGCGCTGACGACGACCCCTAGAGGCTGGAGGAGGCACATACCAGAACTGGACACGATGGCCACGGACGAGAACGAGGTTCACGTGCTGCCAGGCTTCATCCCCATCTTCTGGTGCTTCGTGGCTGTAGGTATCGTGCTCTTCTACTACTCACTGGGATACGCCAAGAAATACTCAACTACCGCCGCCTTCCTGCTCACTGTACGATGGCTTTGTTATCTACAAACTCTTAAAAAAACTAACACTTTTCTCTGAATGTAGCCATTCATCTGCTTCAGCCTTGTGTTTGATAATGCCGTCATGGCTACAACTGGAATCGATCGGCGACATGCCAGCACTCAAGCAATGTTAGCATTCCACGCCTGTGTGACGCCTATGCTGCTTCTGGTATGCTATGAACTGGCCTATATGGTGCACAAGCATAAGTCTGTCAATTTCTGCGGGATCGCGTTCGAAAGTGGCCATAGAGAACGTGGTAGTAGCTGTGCCAACGCAGGAGCAGCATCAGCTCTGGCTAAACGACGCTGGTGGATGTCAACGTGTCTACGCTTTATCGTGTGGCTCGTGGGTTGTGCCTTATTGGTACTAAATCTACTGGTAGCGTATCGCTGGACGTCGGACCTCTCGCTCGAGATTACCAGTATGTACGAGCTACAGGGGGACAGTACGGCACACGCGGTTTGTGCGATTCTACCGGCTTTGATACTGGTGGTTTTGGCTCTGTATATCGGCATAAGACTGTGGAATTATGGCACCAATTACTCGTACATGGTACACGCCACGTGCTTCAATCCGTGGATCTGGATGCTCGTGGGTGCAGTGGCGCTGCTTATTGGGTATTTGATGCCGTCACCCATCTTCGCGTTGTCTTCGAACGCGGGGGAGTTGGTGATGATGGCTACAATCGTGCGGATGTTCCGTGAAGTGCACCACGACATGCAGCAGGGGCTTCAATTCGGCGAGTTTATCGATCCTGAGGGCGCTGCTGCACGCAGACAAGGACCACAGAGTCCCAACGCACGCAGTCAAAGCCTCAGTTTGAGCAAGAGCTTGAGTCATAGCAAGATGGCTGCAGAGCAATCAAATGGCTACATGGCCGTCACGACCCCCAAGGAGTCGGAATTGCCTGCTACATTCGCCAATCGACTGCGTCGCGGGGATGAAGAGGAAGGACAACCAAGTGCGAGTGCTGCTTACCTATCCGTCGTCATTGCTCGAGAGCAGACCAACCCGCTGTGTCAATAGGAAAAAGAAGCAGGACCCTTTTTTGATATTTCAGAAATCCCCACATTGACACCCAATGTACTTGTAGAAGAAGCCAACAATCCACTTATTCTTTTTGAGAATACTTCTTCTACCACTATAGCTACTCGTCATGACGGCTACATTGGATTAGCAGAATGGCTACACTGGTCTTATACTCCGCTAGAGAGCACGACGTGGGCTTCCTTGGTGTGTTTCTGCTTCTTCTCGAGGACCTTCATCATCTTGGTGCTTCCTTCCCCAGACAGCATCTTCTGGGCCTCCAATTCTTCCTTCAGCTGTCTCAAACGTTTCTCCTTTTTCTTCTTTCCAGGCTCATGACCGTGGAATTTATACGACAACATGCGGAAGGCCTCCTTCTTGGTAAGTAGGCGGCCAAACTCGTCGCGATAGTCCAATTTCACGCCGTTTTTGATACGTAAATCGTCTTCAAAGTTGCGATCCCGAGCGTCATTCGCACGCCCAGCTTGTCGTTCGACATGAGTCTGACGTAGATCTCCAGTCTTACGGAGGAGCGCCAAAGTTGCAGCCATTCCAGTGCCTACAAGCGGTTGCTCTTCGCCCCACACTTCGTTCTCTTTCGCCTCTTCATCGTCGCTATAGTTCTCTTCCTTCTCTTCAATCTCCATGTTCTCTTCTTGTTTCTGCTCTTCAACAACAGGTTGAGGTTTACTGGTATTGGTACCGGTATTACCGTCCGCTGCAGCTTGGAACTGAGCTGCACGCTTCTCCATGGCGTCTCGTAACCGCGTCTCGAAGTCCGTGGCCTCGTTAAACACCACAGTATTCGCTGCAGTACTAACCTCTCCAAACACATGACCTACAGGCTTGATATTGGCAGTATCACCCATCACAACGTCTCCAGAGGTATCTGTGGACACAGCAGACGTTTTATCGTCCTCTTGACTGATAGTTTGACTCGCAAGCTGTGCGATCCGATCCTCACTGGTCGTCGGAGCCACTGGCACTTGCTTGTGTGCCAATTGACGTGCACGAGCCAGTGAGGCACCGAGTTCCATCTCTATTGCGGCGTCATCCACCAGCTCACTATCGTCAATAACTCGTCGCTTCATCTTCTTTTTACTAGCAGCCAGAGCCTCAGACGCCACTGCATTGGCCTTTTCTCGAGCTTCCTGGAACCGAAGTAGATTCTCTTCCTCTTCGGTATCCTCATGGCGAGTTCGCTTACGCTTTCCACGATCTTTAGAGGTAGAACCTGTCTGTAAGGCCTCCTGTTCCAGCTGAGCCACTAGAGACGCAGCGTCTGTATCTTGAGTGTTTAGCTGCACTTCTACTGCATCATTTTCGTCTAGATCCACACGACGACGACGTGATTTCTTCTTCTTACGCAGTTTTTTGCTCTTTTTAAACTGCGCCTCCACCTCTTCTTTCGAGTAATAGTCCTCCACTCTCTTGGTTTTATCCATAGCAAGAGAAATCACTGCGATATCGTCTTCGTCCTCCTGCTTACTCTCACTTTCCACAGCTTTAGACCCGCCCGATGCATCTAGCTTAAACTTCCTCGCTTCAGCAGCCTTCACTGCCTCTTGCTCTTCGTCATAGTGGGCCAGTAATTTCGGACCACTCTTCCTTTTTTTCGAACTGCCCATCTCGATAAATTCGTCATCATCGTAACCGGTATAAACCGGTAAAGCTGCTCGTTTGGCCCTCACCTGCTGAGCCAAGCGTCGGTCCTTCTCGCTTAGCTCTACGTTGACGAGTTCATCGTCTTCCTCGTTCAAGTCCTTACCGTCTTCTCCCAGTACTCGCTGGTCTTTGAGAGTTAATACAATCTCCTGTCCGTCCTCGAAATTATCCAATGAATGGCCCACTGTCATGCCTGCTAGAGCAGACGCGTCATACTTCTCCTCTGTCTCCTCTTGAGGCTTATTTTCGTTGAACTTCTTCCTCCTGGACTGCTTAACCCACTCCAAGGCGTCGTTACCTGCCTTTTGAGCTTCCAAATCGGCTTTTAGCTGCTCGCCAAGTGATTTACCCGCTAATTTCTGGGTTAGTTCTCGTCGAGTCTTGGACTGTTGTAGCTTCTTCTTGAGCTCCTGTTGCTCGCGCTCGGCGTCTAATTCGGCGCTGGTCTTTTGTACATTGACAACTGATTGCTCCTTCTTGGAGGGGCCCACTGATAGCGGCTTAAGTCCCAAGGAGATACGAAGCTTGTTGGTCTCTTCGATGCTCAGCGAGATCTCCCCATTCTTGTCTTCGGAGGGCGCTGGTGGGTCCTCTCGATGTCGACTACGACTGCGACGGCGAGACGAGGATGCGTGTCGGTCACGTCTAGAGGAGGACGAGGAGCCCCCGTGGCGACGAGAACGAGTAGGAGAGCGACTTCGACTCCGTGCCATTGTTGTGTGGAACGACTTTACGAAAATAAGGTCGTGGTAATTTCGGGAAAATGTTAATTTCGGATATAGCTACATGTAGCCACATCATGAAAAAGAAAAGGTGGAGTAATTCGTGTCCGGTCTCAATTCTCACAGCAGTGACTACGATCAGATGAAAAATAATTGCAATTGCGGAGCTCGGCACTGAGCCCTTCCATTCATGCTGATACTGCAGCGAACTTCACATAAGGTCACCCGACTGTACTGATTATTATATTTTTTTTGGAATGGAATATGGCTGTCATTTAACTTTAAGTACAAGCTAACGCCACCCCAATGACCTTGTCGACCTGTGTCTCTAGCCGCCCACTGTACTGAACTTGCTTGCGCACGCACTTCGAACTACGAAAGAGCCATGTATCTGCTGATACAAGAACACGTATTCGTGTTCGCTGTTAAGCAGAAAACTAGTCCAATAACATATCGTGTCGAGATCGTTTTTGTGGTTGTGCGATCCATTCAATTGTTGTGCTCTTTTCGTACGTCCACTGTCCCTTCTTGCACAACAACTCGGCTGTCGAGCCACGAGGTCCATGCACGTTCACGCTGAATTTGAAGGAACAACAGTGATTAAGCCGCACTTAAACTCTACTTCATTCCATCAAAGGGGAAGCACTGATCCAGTGCTGAAAGCACTCCCATTCGAATACCAAAGTAGAACATACGCCGCCGCAGCAACTGAGGTGCAAATTTGGACGGCATTGGCTCGGAGCCGAACCCGACCAGACATTCCATAGCGTAACCCCCTTTGTAATTTGTTTTGGTGCGTCCATTCCCTCTCCGCTGCTGCCGAGGCGTGACGTGCGTTGGGTTTGTATTAAACAGCACATTGTGGGTAGCAGTGCCTAACTTATCCATCGGCACAGGGAACGGATTCAGCAGTGCCTTGCCGTTGACATACAAAACCTCCGAAGTTTCGTCTTCTACCGGCATGTACTGCACGATACTGCCACACAACGAGTCCTCGTGTTTCTCCAGATCCTTGTTCGTAGACGACGAGATGTCGCTGACACCCCAAGGAGAGAAGAAATACTCCTGTTTGGCCAGTTCATACGAGATCCAGAATGTCTCCTTGTCTCCGTACGAGAATTCATGAACAAAATGCTGTTCTGTGATAAGGAAGAACATGATCTCCATGGCTTTCCCCGCTCGTGACTTATCGATCGCCACTAATGACGAGTCCTGCTCATGCGACGTCTGTCGACGCCAAGCGTATGACGTTTGGGGGCTCAAATGCTTTGAAGGAGTGGATCCCATCGGTAGTCCGTACTTGGCATAGTCAAACTCCTTCAGTAATTTTCTAAGGTATTGCTCTCCGTCCACATCTTGGTTAAAGAATTCTTTACTTGACAATACTCGGTCATAGAAGAACGTCGTGCCTGTTTTCTTGTATCCCTCGGTTGTTCTTAACACTGCTGGGTCCCGCAAGAAGATATCATCGATGTCCAGTAGTAAGACCTCCTTAATGTCGGTATGATACATGGCTAGTGGTTTGATCCACCAGCTTCGGAAGTGCTTTGCCCGGTCTTCGGTTAGTTTTCCTTTGGCTACTAAATCACTGCAGACGTCCACAATTTCGAGGTTATTGTCCGCTTCGAGCAGTAAAGTGCGGGAAGTATTGGACATTTCCTCGGGAAAGCAGTGGTAGATCTGGATAACCTCCTGATTGCCCAAACAACGGAGTTCCCGGACCAAGGAGAGGCCCATGGGGACAGCGCCATTGTGCATGCACATGATGATTCCTTTGTCCTTGGAGAATGATTGTCGCTCTTGCATTTGAGTATCATCCTTATCGGTTAATTGTTGTGCATTAACCGGTTCTGGGGTCTTGACCGACCATTCCTTGATAGAGGGTTTATTCTCGACACTCGCCAGGCTCTTGTCTTCCGTGTTCCCCGAGAAGGAATAAACCACCGTCAGTACCACCAGAAGAGGGACCACGTAATGCCACACGGGTCGCTTAACACCACGAGCTTGTGCTGAGGCAGAAGCACGACGAGCTCGAGGTGCGCCGGCCTCTAGATCCTTGTCCTTCGAGCTCGGCGTCGAGCCCCGACTCGTGAGCGTGTTGCCTCCGTCGTGCATCGTTCAGAATGCCAGAAGTGTGTGGTGCACCTTAATAAAACGTTACACACAGTTCAACATAACTGACCAATCATGTTGCAATCAAATGCGAACGTGTAGCTCGCTGAATTATGTGTTTAAGCAACAGGCATGGCACCCGTAAGCGCATGGTTCTCCTTACTCGCAGCATACCACGGACAGGACAGCACTTGAGTGAGGACACCCGTATCCTTGTCCACGTGCCAGCGCAGCAGCAGCATGTTAAACGTACGCAACATCTTCCTGGGTAGGGCACGTGCTAGCAGCAGTAACATCACCGATGACGCCTGGTAAATGTGCTCGCCGTAGTATAGATATCCCGTCAGCAGCAGCGCCTCGACGGTCGTGCATCGCTTGCCCTTGTACATGACGTACGCCATGTCGTCGCAGTCCCGGAAGAGCTTGCGGAAGGGGCCGCCGATGCAGTTGCGCTCGAAGGACGTGAGACCGTCCTCATTGACCGATTTTTTCTTAATCACAGTGTCCTTAGCATGAGCGACAGCAGCGCTCGGATTCGACATAGCGTTGGTGGATTGTTTGAAGCTGCCTTGAGCAGACAGCGACATTCTGGCCGAGCGTACAGCACTCTTCACCTTGGGACTTAACCGCTTGACGATGAGTGAAGACACCGCGGCCACAACGCCCAGACCTACCGAGAAGATAGTAATGAAGACTATCAAATTGGTCTTGTAGACGACACACGAGTCGTTGAGTCCACAGTACTTGGCTCCACGCGCTGAAGTCTTTCGAAGAATTTCGCCGTAATTGGCGTTAATGAACTCGAGCGGAGTTTGCCGCACAGACAACAAAACCGCAGCTACGACAGACGTGATCACAATCTGCATAGTCTCCCACGTTAGGCGGAAATGGCGGTCGAGCTGCTGATCACCAGAACGAGCCTTCGCAAGGTTCACGAAGGCGTACGAGAACGCGAAGATACAGCACGTGAGGTTCATGACGGACTCGATGGTCAACATACCTGTTGCTAGTCCGAGCATGTACAGATCCGAGTTGTACACGAGGTGGTACGTGATCTGTGCGAGATACACGACTTGCATGCGTCCATTCTGGCAGCGATAAGCCCAAATCTGAGTCAAAAGTACCGACCGCTTGTGGGACATCACTTGGTACAGACTGATCATCCCCATGATGAGCATCTGCATTACAACGATACCGGGGAGTACACTCAAGGCCACAGTATCTCCGTATCGGCTACGGAAGGTGTTGAGGTTCATTCCGATGCGTGTAGGATTATCCGCGTCGATGTAGTTAACCCATTCCCAGATTGAGTTGTAGTAGTTGTGGATGCACACGTCTCCAGTACTACACATAGGGATATCATCGGGTGAGTGGATCATAAGACCATACGAAGACCAACGCTTGGATACCTCACACGTATTTTCAATGTAAACGCCTGTTGTGTTCACTACACGAACACGACAGCCGCCATAGTAACCCTTGAATAGAGGCTGAAGGACTGTATCGAAGCCGTACTTTGTAGTACCAGCGGGGAAAGATCGTTCGACACGAGGAATACTACTGTCAAAGTTGTACGGGAACAACGTGAGAAGATCAGGGAAAACAGCTAGCGGGTCTTCCCCATTGGTTGCTAAAGCGAGTTTAGAACCGACGAGGCTGTCATCCACAGCGACGTCTGGACGGCATTCCGTATAGTCCGGGAATACGTTGAAGTCAATGCCAGGGATACTGGCGAAGTTGGCACTGCCTTTGACCGTCGGATACAAGAACAATCTCGTGATAGTGTAGATATTCCAGCCCGATTCACAAGGAGCTTTTCCGGCAACAGCGATCTCAAGTTCACGCCTGAATTGCGGCGCGATGTTGAGGTCCAACGTATTAACAACATCCAGTATATCTTGAGCACTACCAGCGATACCAGCCGTCATAGATCCCCACTCATTGACTCCACTCTGGCAGTAAACTCCCTTGGCATCCAGCTTCTCTCCAAGGTCAAGGGCCTCCTGGCTCAGCGTGCTGAAGTCATATAAAGACAAGTCTGGCTTACGTCCAGCAAAGCTCTTGAAGACGGTGGCTCCGATGATCGCGTCTTGTGCGAAGATGCTGTACTTGATAAGACATACTTTATTCAATCCCAAGCATCCGCTACACCCGCCGGCCATCACTGGGTCCTGCTCAGTGAACGCGTAGATGCTTTCATCCACGAGCTTGAGAACGTTGGCATGCGACAGATAACTGGTCGAAGTGAACACGATCAACAGAGCCAGCGGCCACACCACAATGCGTCCGAGCACAGCCAATACAGCTCCAAAGACCGACGGTTTGAAGAGAACCATCCAGTTCTGTTGATCGCGCTGTCGCCGCTGCTCGGCATAGTACTCCGTCGCCCAGTCACCGCCACCTCCAGCTTCTACTTTGTACTTCTCACCTTTCGTCATCTTGTGCCTTGAAGAGTGTCCACTAAAGAGGCACAGGAAATGCGAGCGCTTGCAGACGACTATAGCTGCAATAGCGGTTTCAGCTGCAGTCCATTGCCCGGGTTGACCAATGCCTATATCTGTCGCTCAAAACTGACGATTCAACTTCAAAACTTATATTAGCTGTAAATCCGCAAAAATGGGGTATCCCCCTCTTTCAGGTTCCAAGTCAAACGCGTTCAAACGGCTGCGGGGGACCGCTCCAATGTTGACAAATTAGGCATTTAGTGCAAGCATTATTACAAGTTAAATGCCTCTCTCTGTAGTGTCCGCAATACATAAGCGATTTTCAGTGCTTGTGGACGATCTCGAGGTTCCTGGGACATACACTGCTTCGCCAGTTCCAGGATAATAGGAGGACAAGTGTCACTAAACGTTGGTCGAAGACTTCCACTTGCCACCATTTGCAAGATGTTGTCGTTTGAGCCGACAGCATCCTCATACGGGAGCAAGTGCGTGTCAAACTCCGAGAGAAGAATACCAAATGCGAAAATATCCGCAGACTGATCGTAGTCGCTACTACCCGTGATGATTTCAGGTGCAAGCCATCGGTTTGCGTACTGGGAGCTCGATACACCGAAGTCAGTAAGCTTGGCTTGCATATCCGTAGAAATCAGCACATTGTGTGAGTTCAAATTGCGATGTACCAGTGGCGGTGTGAAGGCGTGAACGTAAACCAAGGCTTCGACGACATCGACTGCCAGTTGGAGCTTGACTCGTGTCCAGTACCGAGGCAGCGCCGGCGACAGGTACGAACACAGATCGCCGTTCTCTACTAGTTCAAAAAGAGCTTGTAAATCAGGCCCAGTAGTCCACGCTGTGCCAATGAACGCCACGATATTCGGGTGATCCAATTTGGAAACTAACTTGATCTCATCAACAAAATCTTGTGTACACTCGGTATCTTCACGTAAGCGTTTCGATGCGAGCAGCACGGAACTGCGATATCTGACGAGCCATACGACAGCGACAGATCCACTTCCAATCACGCGTATGTCGTCAATGTCGTCGCAATTGACTTGTAACGATAGAAGTTCCTCATCATCCCAAATTGTCAAGGGAGGCTGCTTTCTCGAACCTCGGTGCATGTTGTTGTAGACATCGTTCACCTTCTCTTTATTGCGCTGTTTGTGGTAATATAAAGCCGTCGCGGTGAGAGCAATCAGTACGAAGAACACGGTACTAATTGTAACTGCGAGGATTGAAGCTCCACTCCCGGATGGGGCGTTGTCAGCGCTGGATGAACCGGAAGAGTACGAGATCCCAGAAATCGGGACACTGGATGCTGAAGAATCCGACGATTCTGAAGAAGATGAGGAAGTGGAATTTATGTTGCGGTTGCTGACACAGACGACGACGTTGTTAATTCCAATAACTCGCTGCTCTGAGAGACTGCAGTTGACTGGATTCTGAAAGTCACTTTCTGTGAGGTCCAAGCTCGCGAGGCGCTGGAGGAAAGTGATTTGCGATTCTGTGAACGACCGACTGGATAGTGAATTGTTCTGAATACTGAACCTGGCGAGATGCTGGAATGTGAAGACGATTGCAGGGATCTCCGACAAATTGTTACCATTCAAATTTCTGCGGACAAAAAAGTAATTAGATGAAAATGGATAATTAGTACTCCAGCAGTACTTACATATTCACGGTACTTACAGATCGGTCAACCCAGGAAAAGGGCCTTCAAACGTTGTCAAACTGTTTTGCTGTAGGTCCCTGTCAGGGAGTTTAAATAAACAGTTACCTAAGTACTTAGTCCTCAAAATTTTAATCACAAATAAAGCACGTACAGCACAACGAGTTTGTCCCAGGTGATGGAAGAGTTCACCGTCGTAATGTAGTTACCGCCTAGGTGTCTACAACCAGAAAAAAATAATGAATTTGTCAGTTCATTCTTCGCTTTTACAAAACCGATCAGCAAACTTACAAGGTCATCAGGTTCGTGAGTGCCGCAACATGCGAAGGAAATTGCCTCAGTAGCGTGTTGGAGGGTGAAAGTTCTGTGATGGAGTTTGGCAGCATGTTGGGTATGTCGTAGATTCTGGTCGACAGATCCATCGCCACCAAACTCACAGACGTCACTTGAGACTGCGAACTGAGGAAGTCGTCTGCGAATTCCAACCCTACAACTTTCCCCTTGTTGGTCTGTTGATAACCACCACCCTCAATCCACACTCTTGTCGTCTGAGGTGACAGCGTCAACTGATCAATGGCCGTGACGATTTGATTGTTTGCAGTTGCGTAGATGCCGTCATCGCTGTCGTTTTGCTCATTATACGAGACTATAAAGACGAATTGCGTCGGGTCCGAGTTGTACGCGCCAAACGCTCGGAAACATTTGTACGTACATTCATCGTCCCCGACGGTGGTGCAGCTGGAAGAATCGGTCGAGCCGGAGGTGGAGCAGTCTGTGATATTATACGCCAAACATGGCTCGTAGGCTCCGCAGACGTCGTAACCGCATGATGTAGTTAACGTTTTCGCCTCAGTTGAACAGACTTGGGCTGCAGTACTCTTGATCGAGAGTACAGTTAATAATGCTGTGGAAAATGAGCGCATGTTGAGCTCTGATGGATAGAGCAGAAATGACCTTATTTTGAGTAGCCATGCTTGTCATTATGTGCTCGTGTCATCAAAGGTGAGTCGACTAAACCATTCCGGTGCAACTTTCGAACGCAAGCCCGACGATGGAATGTAGCCACTTGCAACGATCTTGACGAAAGTAGGGCAGATTCTATTTCGACGTTGCTCTAGTCCAACACACCTTTAGAGTCCTGGACTCTAAAGATGTTATTGCATATTCCTTACATTGTTTTCAGTCTTCGAGTGTGCTACCGCGCATTTCGTCAAGGCGTAGCTCACTTAGGTGAGTCACCGGGGTCGGACTACGGCAAGATCGCTACTGAACAGCGGCTGTCTGTCAGTTGTCGGGGGGAGATTTTTCATGGTTCTGTGTAATGTATTCAACGTACGGAGGCTAAGCGAACACATTTATCTTGCATGACAGCGCTGCAAGATGTGTCACAAGGAAATAGTGGCTACTTTTTTCTCATTATCAAAACGGTGAAGGCGTTATCACTTTTTTTTAAAGCAAATACTTTTTTCAAAGTTGAAGCCGATAGGTTCTTTCGACGTAAGTATCGCACCATCACAACAACTCCAGAAACGTCCGACTTGAGAAATATACGCTTTCGTGGGTTCCCAAGCTTGCTGCAAGTGGGGATGCTCGAAAACTACTCCTCATCGAAGAATTAGCTTTCCAAGACGCAATGGACCCTCACTTCAGTATTATCGAACGCAACATGCTTCGCAACCCGCCAGCACTTGCATGGCGCGTCGGCCACGCTGGGAACCGAGATGCTTTGGTTCGCGCTCGTCTGACAAACGTGTACTTTGAAACCGACCAGGATTTCCAACGAGCTAAACGCCAACAAGTCGACTGGTGCAACCGCGATCCAACCGCGTTCCTCTCGGTTTTTACGAGCAAGGCGCATGCAGAAATGTGGGGAAGGAAACTGCTCGACAAAGGAGACGTGTGGATCTATCCGGTGGACACGTACGGACTCACCGTCTTCCCCACGCACACCGGTGAACTCTTGATTTTGGGTGAAATTCCGAGAACTAATATCGGCGAGGGAGAGCAAGTGCCCCAACTAGTCGAGGATGAGTTGCTAGTTGAAGACATACCTGGTGAAGAAGGACTGGTACACAACGAGCGCACAGGTCTCAACTACGAACCTGGTGACGAAGCAGCCGAGGAAGAAGACGAAGACTGGGTGGACTTCGCCGAGTATCAGATGGATCATTAGATCTCATGAGATTCATCTTGGCTTTTCGACCTAGCCACTGAGTATATACAACACAGTTCACTACTTGTTAACCTCCTTTACTCGTTAGGCATTCGAACTCATTTAGGCGCCAGGAAGCTCGTAGGCCTCCGTTCATTTATTCTTCGCATCTCGTACGAGCTGTAGCCTCTTGTCAGGTGGATGCAACGTCCCCTTCTTGTATTGTGCTTTCAGCCAAACATCGTCAAACCCCTCGTAACGGAGGTATCGCGGATCTTCCTTCAGTTGCTCAATAGTTTTCCCTGCCCAGCTATTTTTCTTGAACAAAGTCTGGGGGGATTCTCCTGCTGCTAACCAAGATCTGTGCTCCAGCTTTTTCGAGAGCGTATGCATTTTCTGCTTCTCCGCCAACGCGCTCAGCCTCATCAATGTCTCCGGTCCCAATATACCCCGCTCTTCGTAGGCGCCACCCGTTGTTCTGGCAGCTCGTAGAGCCCTGTTGCTTGGAATTGACCTTCGGCTTGTTGTGAGTCCCGACAGTTCGACATGGTTGGAGAATGTCAGAGCCTCACTGGTTGGCACAAAGGCTATACCGATCAACAAGACTACGAAGCTCTGCCCCATAACTTACATGCAATAGTGACGTGGTGTAAAGGGAGAAGCAGTAAGTTTGGTAAGTAAAACGTCGTCGACGATCGAAAAATTGTATTTCCCGGAAAGGGAAAGGAGCTATTACGTTTTGGAGTGATAAACGTAATCCATGATGATGATGCGGTACAAGCGATCACAATCTAAAAAGGGTCATACTCGAGTTCATCTCATGAGTCATGAGTCATGAATATCTACAACCAATCACGAGAATCGAGAACATCAACGTGTATTTGCACAAGATTTCAATGGCATTTAACTCTCACTTTGTATTCTCGACCTCCAGCAGCGCAGGTGTCTGCGTCTTGGATTGTTCCTCCGTGAGTTTCGTCACGGCGTAGTCGATGCCCAAGCCGACCACTCCCCACTTAATGGGACGGAGCCACCCACGCACACGACGCCAACGACCGACGAGCGGGTAGACGGAGTTGAGCGTTGTGCCGTACACTGCGAAGGCCGCTGGGGCCAACTTGGCGTCACGCGCGACTTTGCTCGTCTCTTCATTTTTGCCGTCATTAAAATACGACGTACCCCACACCAACAGTTCGGCACCCGTGACGCCTAACACCAAGGGATAAACCATGAGCTTCGGGAGCTTTTCGGCCGTCTTCTTGGTCAGGTACGCGATGCCTTTGGCGCGTTTGTGCGAGCTCACGACCTTGGCGAACTGCAGGCCACCGGCCATGACCGAGAAGCCGGCGTAGTGCTTGGAGTCGCGGTTCACGAAGCGCTGCCATCGGTGCTGCGCATGCGCGGCGTGGTCGAAAACCTTGCTTGGCGTCATGGCGATTCTCGTGTCAGAATGAGTTTGGCATAAACTGTGCCATTTTGTGCCACAAATTGGGGCCACCGTGGCACGTACCGATGATTTGCTCCGACCTCAGCGCTCCGATTCTTGGAATCGATGGCGATGAAACTCACGTGTTATGGGGAGAAGGTTGTGTTCACTATACTGCACATGTATTTCATCTAATGTAAGTTTACGGACAAACTCTAGTCGAAATCATTGCTCAAAGCGGGTTGATGCTTGGTAGCTCAGTAGCGCCTGCTCTTCTTCGTGCTGGCGCATTGCGTCCTCGAATTTCAAGCGATGATAGATGCTGAAGACGTAATCAGCTCCGTAGCCGAGAGCAGCGAGTCCAAGAGCACCCTTGGCCATGGCACGGGAGCCGCGGTGCACGTTGAGTAGAGCTCCACAGACTGGCAAAGCCATGAGCACGTTGTCCCGTGAGAAGTCCTGGCGGTAGTGCGACACAGCAGCGATCGATAGTTTCATGCCGGCAATGCCAACGGCGGCAGAACACACAAGCAGCGGCACCTTAGGACCTGTGCGGCGCATCGCGAGGGCCACACGTTGGCCGGTAGGCAGTAGTTTGTCTTTGATAGCATGGAGCTCCTTGCCCGTCTGGAAGGCAGTGAAGAGCGCCGAGCAAGTGACGAAGGTGCCCAGATCCTCCTCAGCGAAGCGCGCCCACCGCTGCTGCAGTGACATCTCCATGCTTCACAGGCCCAAGCGATGCAACAGCAATGTTAAATGAAGTTGTCACATCCCCTCCATTTTTAACATTTGTGTGCACCACACACTGCAACGCAACGAACACAAACTGCATCCGGTGGCAATAGTACAATTAACATATTCGGGTAATGGAATGTGGCAATCGCAACCATTCCTGCGCAACTTGACCCCGACCGTGATCGCCGTTCTCCGCCCCCTTCCTGCCTATGGACGCGCTGCCCACTCCGTCTCCTGCTGCTGACAGCGGCATTGCATCGCTGCGGAATGCGCTAGCCACTAAGGAGCGCCTCCCGTCGGCCGCCAGCGCCGCCATCGACGCGTTCCTGGCCACGACGCAGCGACTACAGCACCGCGACAGTCGTTCGGGCGCCTCAGGCTTCGAACGCGAGTACATGGAGCTCTGCTGGAGCATCGATAAAGCTCCAGGCTATGAGGCAGCGCTGACGGTGCAAACTAAAGCAACCAAGGCCAAAAACCGGTACCGAGACGTGTTACCGTTTGAGAAGACGCGTGTGAAGCTGCAAACAGCGTCATCTCAACCTGGAGACGACTACATCAACGCCAATTACATTGACGGAGGCTACATCGCCTGCTGTGCGCCGGTACCTGCTGCTATCCGCGACTTCTGGCACATGATATGGCAGTGCGACGTACACGTAGTGCTCATGCTCACAAACTTTGTCGAAAGTGAGCGACTGAAAGCCGATTTGTATTGGGACCCACGAGGGGAGACCGTGGACTTTGACGGCATAACAGTCAAGTTGATGGATGAACAGCATCCTACAAGCTTGGGATTCATTGTCAGGAGGCTTAAGGTCTGGAAGGATGGGAGCGGAGAGAGTCGTGTCATTCAGCATATTCAGCTGACGACGTGGCCTGATCACGGCGTGTTACGTGACTTCCGAGTAGTTGCACCAATGCTCGATGCAGTCAACAGCTACCGCGACGAGGCATCGAGACGCTATAAGGTGGATACGAGAGTTGTGGTGCACTGTAGTGCTGGCATTGGACGCTCCGGCACGTTCATCGCCATAGATATCCTGTTGAAGCAGCTACGTCAAGCTCTGATGGATAGAGCGGGCAGTGCGGAGGCGATGAAGCAGGCGCTGGACATCCCGCGAGTCGTCTACAGTCTGCGATCACAGCGACCTGGCATGGTACAAACCCCGGTACGTTCTTTACTTTTTTTTGGAGTTGCAGGTACTAACACTCGTGTTTGAACGGCTTATGTAGGGACAGTATCAAATGATTTACCAGTATTTAGCTGCCGTGGTTAGCGACAACCAGCCTTGGTGATCGATGGTAGATACTCATTAATGTGGGAGAAATAGGAATACCGTCTGTATTTAAATCCCTCCGCTGTGACTTCAATGCAGTTTTCTTAACGATCTTCATCGTGTTGCGTTTCTGGATCTTACGCAGTGCCACAGAACGCAGATGCTTGTCGAAGCCATTGAGGATCTCATCAGAGTCCACTAGCGTCACATCCAAGTGCTTGGACGTCTGTGGATACATGTGTACCAGGTCCTGGAGCACCAAATCATACAATTCGGCGCAGAATTCGATGCCTGTGGGGCCGCCGCCTACGACTTGAAGAATGTGATCAAGGCGAATAACCCAGTCACGATTCGATGTGACGCAAAGGAGTTGCTGCTCTTCTTAGCGAAGAAGGACGGGATGTGGCTGGATGAAGCTGGCGCCGCAGCAGTGGAGCTCGATGCCCTTGAATATTCACAAGCTTTCGAGCTCATGGATCCGTCGCTGCGGCTTAATAACGCTAGATACTTCGGGGCGAATTTTAAGCCTAGCGAAGGCGAAATTCACGTGCTGGTGGTGGTTCCGAAAGCCACGGAAGAGCTTGTTTTACCTGCGTTTGAGTATGAAGACAACCAACGGGAGCAACAAAGCGACGGTGCTGTGGTGTCAGGCGATGGAATCGAGAGACAAACCCGTAAACTTAGCGCACCATTGCAGATTTCGGACTTGACACTCGAAAGAGGAGTTCCATCCACCTCGAAAAGCTACTGTTGAAGCGTTTGCTGACCTTCTCGAGCGAAAGTCTGTGATACTCATTTGTGCGCCACCTCTATCTGAAAAAACGGCCATGTATCATCTGCTATATAACCACTTCGTGCACACTAAGCCGAACACACTAATCGCCCGAGTATCCGCGAATTTGACACCCACATCCGTCGATTTCTGTGAGTACTTTAAGTCGATCTATAACTGCGGTTTTCAAGATTTCAATACGTCCAAGTTGGATCGCGTGGTGTTGATCGATGATGCATAGATCACGTGTGATGATGACTTGCTGTGGAATGGCTACATCAAAAACACTTTGGACGGAGAAAATCCTGGTATGCGCTTCGTTCTTTTCTCGTCCTGTGGCAACTTGGATTCCTATCGCATCATCCCTCCTGAGAACACTTTCGGATTGGATTCGAAGCCTGGTTTGCACCTTACACGTGTGGAACTGGACGAAATGGTTCACAGCAGCTGTGTAGCAATAGTATGTGACCCCGTTTGGATCATGTGCTTACAGCATATCCGATATAGCCCGATCAATGCTTACTTTTTTGAGTCTCAAGTTTCGTTCGATGAGAGTAGGAATGATTAGCGCTGGAGACATGGAGATGGAACTTCGCTCTCCTGGATTACTGGAGTATAGTGGTGCCAGTTATCGGGGCATCGCGACTCCTGATGCTTTGGAACGAGTGAAGCAAGCTCATGACTTATCGGCTGAATCGTATCGGAAGATATACGAAGCAATTAATGTTGTTGCTTCTGGAAAGGTTGTGCATTCGCATGATTGGCCTACAAGTCAAAATACAGTGGAACTATTGACCAAGTATGGTTTCCTATACGAGGACCAGACGAAACAACTCCAGTTCCCATCAAACGTGCATCTAAAGATCTGGTTGCAATCTACCCGAACGCACCCAATGGGCTACCACTGCATGGCATCAGATATCTGGAGTGGCACCGTGTTATTGCACGCTTAAGCAAGTAAAAGCTTCGGGCTTTAATTGACCTGAACACCAGATTCAAACCAGATTCAAATGGTTATACGACGCACAACGTCTGCTTACCTCTCAAGATGCATGTAGTGAAAGTAGCAACGTATCCGTTTTCCTTAAAAGGATACAAGTTCGTTAAAAAAAATTAATGTCCTCCGGATTGGCACATTTTCAAGCTTCAGTAGCCAATCGGAAGAGGCGAGCGAACTATCTTGATCGGATTTTCAGTAACCGCCCTGCTCTATTGTAGACTCCATTTGAACAACACGCTGGATGGCACACAAGAAGTCTCGCACAATGCGCGTCTCTCTTTTAAATGCCCCTATGAGCTCAGAGAGCTCGTGTTGCCGTGATCCAAGGCGCTCGGGCGCAACAACCATTCCCCAGAGCTCCCTAGAAACGTTACTCTCTCCACAGGGTGGATATCTTTCGTTCGCATTGGAACCATCTTCACCAAGGCTTGAGCATCCAAGATGTAGCAAATATTGGGCAATCTTTCAGCTAAATACAGTGCAGCGAATTGTATCGGCGATTGTCTTAGCTCCGCTCGTGACGGTCTTCTTATGGCTTTCACCGGCTTTTGCAACATCAACGGTTTGCAGCTTTGTAACAAGCGCATGTTCGTACGAATACGCGTGGCTATCGAATCGAATTCGCTTACGGATTATCACGCGGCTTGAAGCTCTGGAAGGCGTTTGGAACGAAAACTCTACCGGATCTAACAGTACTTTTATATCCAGTCAGACTGTCGAGGCAGACGCCATAACTGGCAGGAACTTCTCGTCACAGTCTCAACGTGTAAGTACTGATCTTCACAGTAGAGCGCTGCAATCATCGCAGACGGACATTCGCTCGCGTCTGGAAGAGCAAGAACAAGAGGATATTGCACATGTCGACGAGGCGCTGTGTACACTAGAAACACGACTAAAACGCCACGCTGTAAGTGAGATAGCATTACTCTATTTCAACGACACCGATAAACTGGCAGCGGGGTGTGTCTCAGTGGTTATATGCGCTGCGTCGTCTACGTTATTCCTCTTATCCATTGGGCACGCCCAGGCACTCCAGGCCACTGAATTCTACGAGTCTCGTTGGTTCTACGCCATTGCAACAAGCTTCGTTGCTGGGTTCTGTGCTTGTCTGGCGCCTGATTGGCAGTACGCGTTCACGATTCTCGTGCAGTATGGAGTGTTTACTGTCCTGACGATGTATTCTACAGGATGTCCACTGAATGACTTCAGTTGCGGCATTGGACTAGAACCCGAAGTGGCTTTTCTGATTGGTATACTATTGCTGCTCATCTGCCGGTTTACTGCCTGCCGGAGCGGTATTGAGGCTTTTCTATCGTTCATATTAGACGTGCTGGGTCTTCTTTATATCTCCGGAACATTGTCCATACTCGTGGCTTTCGTGGACGATGAACGGAAAGTATTATACCGTGAGTTACTTATCGCTTTGCTGTACATCGTTTGGGCAGCCGATACTGGCGCTTATATCACGGGAAAAACACTGGAGCTGACCAAGTATCCGTACCATAACCCGCTTGCCGCGCATTTATCTAAGAATAAGGACTATGAAGGAACTCTTGGAGCTGTGGTGTTTGGAATTGGTGCGATGGCTGTGGTTTCTAAAGCTCTAGATCTTCCGGGATCGTTTGGTTCCAAAGTGCTATTTACTATCGTAGCGGTGATCACTGGAAGAATAGGAGATTTGTTTGAGAGTCTGTTGAAGCGCGCTGCAGGTGTGAAAGACTCTGGCAAACTCATCCCTGGTCATGGCGGTATGCTGGATCGTATTGACGCGTTGATGTTTGCTACTCTAATATTCTCGCGTTATTACCATGTTGTTTGACGCCGTAATTTACCACTAACATTTTAAATTGATATAAAAAATATTTGCTTTTTTTTGTAACAAATCTGCATGAAAAAAAGTCCTGGGTGAGTAGAACTGCTTATAAAATCTCGATATTCACCATAGTCCTTCCGGTCCCATGGAGCGTGTTATCGGCCTCTTTACTCCCGATAACTCGTCAAACGTTGTTATAGTGGAGCGATGTTGCACGGCTAATTTCTTCGCTGAATGCTCAACTTTGTCCATGTTGTCGTCAGCCACCTCCAGCAGAACAAGCTGCCGTAAGTTAGTCGCAGGCTCTACCGGCATTGCAGACGGACACCCGCAGAGCGCATCGCATAGCAACGAGATATCCCCCAGCCACGATAGTTTCTGCTTTACCCGACTTATCATTCTAGCTGGAGTGACGTCATCAAGTTGAGCTGATCTCTGAGCGATTCTCATCTCCAGGTGCCTCACATGGGCAACAATACCAGCGCGAGAACCGTGCTTCTTCTCCAGAAGAGACCACGCTTCCAGAGCGCTCAAATCCGTCCTAACGCTATCGTCTTGCTGCTCAACAGGTTGAGGATCGAGCTGTGCTCTCTCTCGGAGAGTGACGAACCTTCCGGTGCTCGCTTCACCAATGTCGTGCTCCGTCTCCGATGCATCAGAATCCTCACTTAGTGCTTCTAGCAGCAAACGTTTTTCGCCCGCACAATCCAACTTACGCAGCACTCGCTCATAATACGCCCTTGGAGTGGACGTTGCCAGCTTCTCCCCCAACTCACGCCACTTTCTCTCCAATGCTTCCACCTCGTTTACCAGCGGCCCATATTCATTCTCGAGCCGCTGTACTTCGTCACACATACGCAGCACCTTATTCTCTAGCGCACTAGTGCTCATTCTTCAAAAGCTTCTTCCCCGTTAGAGACAATTGCCAAGTGCGACCAAAAAGCCAAAAAGTTACCCAAAGTTGAAGTTGGCTGCTGCCACACAAAATGTAACAAGCCAATCATAACGAGAGTTATTGTTTACAAACGTGCAGTAAACATTAATTTTTAGACTAAAATAAAATTTAGTCGCCACTCATCATCGTCGTGACCACCGACACTTCGGGCCGTCATGGCCTCAAGGGAGCCTCCGCGCGCCTCTAATACAATGGCAATCAACTCCCCGCACATCACTCCATACACTCGTGAGGTATCTGTGTCCCCACGGTCAAGTTCCTCTCGTAATGGAGTCCCAAAGTCACATTTATCCGAGTTTTTACGTCGCAATGTCGTACAACGTGTGATTTCCGCCGTGATCTTAGCGCCAGCCGTGACGGTATTTCTATGGCTGTCACCAGCGTTTGCAACGACGACAGTATGCAGCTTTTTGACCAGTACCTGCTCGTACGAGTACGCGTGCTTGGCCAACCGCATTCGACTACGAATCCTGACGAGGTTAGAGGCCATGGAAGGCCCCAGTGAAGTAAGCAGGTGCTCTCAGTACAGCGATACGCTATATCATCATACGCGGAGTCATGCGAGTGAAAGTGAAGACGAGAGTCGAACACCGAGACGTAGTATGGACTCCACAAGGATACGGAGTACTGGACGTGAGTCGCATGTGACTGCAAGGGAATTGCAGGCGGAGAGGGAGAACAGAGAGATCGCAGTTGTGGACTGCGAGTTACGAGACCAAGAAAACCGGTTAAACCGGTGTGCAGTCACTGAATTAGCTGCCCGATACTTTGACGGACATGAATGGATCGCTGCAGTGTGGGTGGCACTCTTTATAAGCGTCATCATTAGCGTCATGCTGCTCTTATCGATACAGCGGATACCGCAACTGCACCGAACGGAATTCTACGGATACCGATGGATGTTCGCCATCGCTACCGGTTTTGTGGTCGGTATTTCGGCGTGTTTTACGCCAGATTGGCAGTACGGCGTCGTCATGCTCATCAAATACGTGGTATTTATCTTCCTCACCCTACACTCCACTGTGTGCCCCATGAACAAACCAGATTGCGATTTTCAAATGGGTACATCGCACGTGTTCCTCATTGGCTTCCTCGCTGTCCTTGTGTTCCGCTTCGCTTCGTCACGTAGTAATGCCGAAGCGTTCGTGACGTTTATGTTGGATGTGGTGGGGCTGGTGTATATTACTGGTAGTCTGTCCATTCTCGTGTCTTTTGTGGACGACGATATTCGTATTCTCTACCGGAAATTACTGATCGCGTTGCTGTACATTGTGTGGGCTTCGGATACTGGCGCGTATCTAGTGGGTAAAACGCTCGCATTCTTCAATTACCCGTACTATAACCCACTTGCAGCGCATTTATCTAAGAACAAGGACTACGAAGGCACAGTCGGTGCGATTGTGTTTGGGATTATGGCGATGATTGCAGCGTCCGATGTCTTGGATTTACCGGGATCGTTCGGTACGAAAGTGACGTATACGGTTATCGCAGTAATAGCTGGAAGACTGGGAGATTTATTTGAGAGTTTGTTGAAACGCGCTGCGGGAGTTAAAGACTCGGGTAAGTTGATCCCAGGACATGGAGGCGCACTGGACCGTATCGACGCATTGATGTTTGCCACGATAGTATTTTCTCGTTACTATGCTTTACACACCTAATACTACTACTAGTAGTACTTAATTAAAGGAATGGAAAAATATTTTCGAGTGATTTTGATTGGATAGCATTCAGACGAAAAAAAGCCATTAAAATTTTAATGGGTTATTTTCGTCTGAATGACATCCCAGCCAATCAACATGCGTGACGACGAGATTTTGGAACTAAGTTGAATGCCAACCAAATTTATATCATTACGACCACAATGTGACTTTTTTGAGTTGGCTCCGAATAACCCAAATAAACCTTGCCGTTGGATGGCATTCGGACGATAATAACCCATTATAATTTTTAATGGTTTTTTTCGTCTGAATGCCATCCAACGGCAAGCGACATTTTCATCCGAAAGTTCGTTGTCGTTGAGTATTTATAAAATATGGATCGAGATCAAAACGAAGCCGTGATAACTTTGAGTCGAATCACTTTTTTTTAAGTTCGCCGCATGACAGCTTTCCATACGCCCAAGAAATGACACCAATGCAGGCTGCTACGTTGTCTTGGACTTGAGTTTTTTTCCGTCACAATGCAGTGCAACGCATTGCATCGACTGTGATTTTAGCGCCACTGGTGGCGGTGTTTTTGTGGCAATCCCCTGCGTTCACAACGATCACAGTGTGTAGCTTCGCTACCAGCGTATGCTCTTACGAGTATGCATGCCTAGCGAACCGGATTCGACTGAGGATTCTAGCGGGATTACAGACACTTGAGCGTATGAGCAACAGCACGGAGACTGATGAAAATAATCCAAGTAACCATGACGAACGTCTCGATAACCACGATGCTGCTGCTTTTGAGTCACATACTCAAGAAATACTTCACCATCGAGCGGTAACCAGCCTTGCGCAGAGGTTTTTCTACGGCTATTACGTACCAGCTGCAGCTTGTGTTGCGATAGTTTTGTGCCTACTGCGTTTCTTTTGGCGATGCAGTGGCTTGAGATGCTTCAGTCGACTGAATTTTACGAGCATCGCTGGGAAATTGCAGTTATCACGAGCTTCATCGCCGGGTTTTGTGCGTGTATGGCACCGGACTGGAAGTTTGCAATCGTGACATTGATAAATTACTTTGTTTTCCTTCTCCTCATGGCGCATTCGGTGATATGTTCAACGGTTGAGGGGGAATGTAAGGCGAAGATAACGTCGACTCAATTCCTTTTCGGCGGTGTAATAATCCTCCTCTTTTTCCGGTTTAATTTCATCAGCTACCGATGCAGAAGCGTTCGTGTCGTTCATGCTGGATATACTGGGGTTGGTCTATGTGGTGGGGACTCTATCCGTGATCGTCGCCTTCGCGGATGATAACAACCGTCCATTGTATCGAAAACTACTGATAGCGTTACTTTACGTTGTTTGGGCGTCCGATACTGGAGCTTACGTGGTCGGTAAAACACTAGCGTATTTTAAGTACCGGTATTACCATCCATTGGCCCCACCTTTGTCCAAGAGCAAAGACTACGAAGGCACATTGGACACCGTTGTTTTCGGGATTGTAGCCATGATAACAGCGTCCAAAATCCTTAGATCTACCTGGTTCATTGGGCACGGAAATCGCTTATACCATCACGGCAGTGATCTTTGGGAGACTAGGAGATCTATTTGAGAGCTTGCTGAAGCGCGCTGCTGACTCAGGAACATTGATCCCAGGCCACGGAGGCTCGCTGGATCGTATTGACGCCCTCGTGTTCGCCACCATCGTCTTCTCACGCTACTATGGACTCAAAATCTGAGTGTAGCCATGTGTAGTGTAGCCATGTTCAGAACAACTTCAACAAAAAGAAAACGGTCATCCGGATAACTTATCCGGATTGTGTCGTCAGGTGGCCGCTCTCAGTTCATTTGTCTCTTTGCAGACTCGTGACATCATGGCGTTTAATGGCGTAGAAAGATTCATTGGCGTGTATCACACTACCACTACAGACAACATCAGACCCGTGACTGTGTCACCTGAAGAGATGCAGAACTCTCCACAGGCAAATTTTCCCTACCTGGAGGAGCAGATTGGGCCGTTAATGGAAATTCAACGTTCCAGTCGACAATGGAGCGACTTTTTCCGTCGCAATGCAGTACAACGCATTATTTCAGCGACGGTATTGGCACCAGCAGTAACGATTTTTCTGTGGTTGTCACCAGCGTTTGCAACCACGACGGTCTGCAGCTTCATGATCAGTACGTGTGCGTACGAATACGCGTGTCTGGCCAACCGTATCCGACTGCGAATTCTCACTCAGATGAAGGTGATGGAGGGACTAATGAACGACAGTGAGCGTCGTTTGGGCAATTTTACGTCACTGAATAACACGCGTAGCAACCACAGCGTCACGAGCAGCAGGGACTCCGAAGTTGATCCTGAACCGCCTTCACCTGTTGAGAGTGTTATCTCAATTAACTCGATACGGACGAGAACGAGAACTTCACAGCCGGATGCGAGGGCAATCCAGGAAGAACGGGAGAACCGTGAGATTGCGATTGTGGACGATGAATTGAGAGATCAGGAGGACAGGATACACCGCTGTGCCGTAACTGGTGTCGCAGTGCAGTATTTTGAAGGACATGTGTGGTGGGCAGCAGCTTTTGTGTCGATTCCTGTGTGTATGGTGACATCTGCTGTGTTTTTGCTATCGATCCAGTGGGTGGATACGTTCGAATCGACCGAGTTTTATACGTATCGGTGGTTTTTTGCCATCCCGACGGGGTATGTGGTCGCGCTGTGTGCGTGTTTGACGCCGGATTGGCAGTACTCGGTGATCACGTTGATAAAATACGGCGTCTTCACCATTCTAACGTTACATTCGACAGCATGTCCGATGAACGAACTGGACTGTAATTTACTGATGGGTACATCAGAGATTTTCCTCGGTGGGATGGTAGTTATCCTGGTATTTCGTTTTGCTTCGACATCTGGTAAGGCTGAGGCTTTCGTAAGCTTTATGCTGGATATCGTTGGGTTATTATACGTGACTGGAACACTGTCGATCCTAGTGGCTTTCGTCGATGATAACCACCGCACTTTATACCGTAAATTACTAATTGCGTTGCTTTACATCGTCTGGGCGTCCGATACGGGAGCATATCTAATTGGTAAAGTTCTCGACTACTTCCACTACCCGTACTACAATCCCCTAGCAGCGCACTTGTCGAAGAACAAGGACTATGAAGGCACTCTGGGCGCGATCATCTTCGGTATCATAACTATGGTAGTGGCTTCCGAACTATTGGACTTGCCCGGCTCTTTCGAGATGAAAGTTGGTTTTACAGTTTTAGCAGTCGTCGTCGGACGAATGGGTGATTTATTTGAGAGCTTGTTAAAGCGAGCTGCGGGGGTCAAAGACTCTGGAACGCTCATCCCTGGTCATGGAGGCGTATTGGATCGGATCGACGCGCTCATGTTTGCCACAATCGTTTTCTCACGCTACTACGCTTTGCAGTCTTGAGAAGCCCGTTTCAGCAGATTTAGGTGTTTAATCCCTTCAATCGACGTTGAAATTATTTTTGTTTAGACATGTTTAAACAAAACAGCGCCCGGCTCATGCCGAAAAAGCCGGTCCATCCCACTTGACTTCCGCGGTGCTTGCACCTTATCCAGCGATGGTACCCGAGCAGCGCCCCACAAGCCAGCACGAGACCGCAGGCATCCCGATCATGCCGCAGCCGTCGACAGACGTGCAAAACTCTCCGCTCACGAGCTCTTACCACAGCCTCCAGCAGTCGCCCCCGCCTCAGACACGAAGTCAGTTGTGGACTGCGAGTTACGAGACCAAGAAAACCGGTTAAACCGGTGTGCAGTCACTGAATTAGCTGCCCGATACTTTGACGGACATGAATGG